CAAAGCTCAAAAAAAAAAATCGCTAAAATCACTAAAAAAAAAGCCTATAAATATACTTCCAAAAACAAAATGGTATGCGATGCTTTAATAAGTCAATTGCGCGAATTCTACTTAAAAAGATTTTATGCAATTAAAAAAAAAATGTTTATTTTTGCTATTTTAAAATATTTATAAAGTGTAAATTAAATATCTGCGTGGAGAACTTTTTGATCCACAGGCCAAATTATCACGGCGAAGGCCAGAACAAGGTCCAATTATTATTAAAACGGCGGCACTCTACATCCATCTTCCTTGTTTTTAAATTGACAATTTTAGGGCCTAATGCAGAAAAAAAAACACTTCAAAGTATTTCACATTTGATAGTTGCACAGTTGAGCCGGCAATGAGGGCATATACATGACTCTACCGCATTGCTATGTGCGAGCAAACGGAATCGTTTGAAATTTTAATCGAAATTCGACTATGCCTCCTCTATATCAGCGCCGTTAAGCCCATACGAAAACATCGGCTCTTCAAAATCTATTGCAAGCCCATGTATATTGTGACAACACAACGCAAGTTTGGAACACAATAAAATCAACCAGATCTTCTGAAATTTGGCAAAGTTGCTACGACACATGTTTGTACATGTCAGTACACAATTCGCACACATAAGGCATCCATCAACAAAATAAAGAAAAAATGAATACGTGATTACAGCACTTTCACAAGAAGTTATAATCTTGAAGTCTGATTCCATGCAACATCCAACTGAGGATAATCTTTACTCTGAGCCAAAGTAAGCAATTGTTGAAAGACATTCATTCGCTTTGTGAAGAGTCTCAATGATGAAAAATATGATTATATTATTATATTGTTATTGTTATTTATTGGTTTATCAGTCATAGGTTAGGTCTACGACCTTTAGAATATTATCGGAACCTTGCCCAATTATCACCATCAAATTTTAACGCTGAAGCTATCCAATCACTCAATTGTGGCTTTTACTGGTACGAGATCTGCTTGGAATAATTGACATTAAGTGGGTGATTCTAAAAAAGAATGAAGTCGCTTCTACTTCTCACCACCACATTTTTACAACATTTTTAAAAAGCTAGTCACTCTAATATCCACGATTTGTAAACATTTCTATAAATTAACTCTCGACATTGAGTGAATAAAACAAAAAATTGTTATCAGCATCAATCAAGTCGAAATTTTAAGACTTTTCATAGGCAGTGGGTTGAATTCTCGTACTAATTCAAATGAGATTTACAGGCGCAGTTATGATCTCAACAGCAAGGCCAAAAAATGCAAGCAAGCATGTTATTATTCGATACGAACTAATAAAACATTAAACTGAAACGGCCTATTATAGCGACGATACACAATAGCAATTTTGGGCTTATTCTCACCTCGACACTTTAACTTTAGCAAAGCAAGCAAAAATGTTTTCTTTTTTTTATCTACAGCAGCGCTGAAGTGTGTCTTTCAACACTTTTCCAAATTTCCAATTTTAAGAAAATTCACTGACGCACTTCTGACTGTACGCAATGTTTCAAGCATATTTACATCTGGTAAACGATTATTAAGTATAAATTTAGGTTTGCGTGAAAAACGAATCAGTAGACTCTCTAATTCATCCGCCGTTTCTCCTTCTCATGTAGCACCTTAGAAAGATCCCAATGGTTAGCAAACTAGTGGAATGATGCCTTATTGTGATCGCATTACCCGGCAAATACCTTTCATGACATATCCATAACGTTAGCATGAATACTAGAAATGAGAGCATACACTTTAAATCAGATCGCATCAAAGTCTATCATCATATATAAAATGCAGAGAGATGTATTTAAAACTGCAATGGCCAATCGTTTCAAATTTTGTGAGCGCTCCAAAGGTTCCTTAATGAAATTCTCAGAAAATTTGATTTTGTTTCGGGCGCAAATTTTGTATACCCAATCCCGTTATCTTACAACAAGTGAACAATATATATATATATATAAAAGAAATTGTTATTCTTTTTAATGATTTTAATGGTCTCCTGATTGTTTCCGATTCTTCTTCCTTCGCTTGGTCGCTTTAGCTCTTCTATCATCTCCTCTAGATGTTTTGGAAAATACGCGAACTAAACCTATTTAATTTTACAAGTTATGCCTGAGTGGCAAGAGTCTCGACTTTCAACTCATGCATAATACCTATGGAAAGAGGTGAGTTAAAATGTATAACTAGTACACATATATTCGTACAATGTTTGCTGACTAGCCCTTCAGAGACTTTAAATGATCGTAATCCTATTTTCTTAGTCATAGATTCTCAATGTCATACATGCTTGAAAGTGTGAAGATTTTTACCTAATTGAATGTGTCAAAGGTTAATATCGAACATTTAAAATTTCTTGTATTTTACAAGTTAGCTTAGAATTAAACCGTCATAATTTTTAAACAACGCCCTCGCTAAATTCCCTGTTGAAAGGCAAAGCACAGAGTCGCTTATAATAAATAAATGGTTAAAAGCCCAACTTAACAACTTAAATGTTAACGCCAATCAGCTATGTTAAACGCGCAACTTAATATTAGCTAACGGACCAAATTAACCAAATTAACAAAAGCCGTCGGCAAAACAAAAACTTAACATTATCTAACGGACCAACTCTGTAAAGTAATATTATCTAACGGACCAAATTAACAAAAGCCGTCGGCAAATCTTTCTAGTAGATGCTGGCAGAAAATTCTAATTTCACATTATTAGCTTCTCCTGTAATAATTCAGGAATAGGAACAAAGTTCTGAAGTTTTTCTTTTAAATGCATTTCTTTGAATTCTGTAAGAACATGCAAACAAAAGTCTAAATAGCCACATTTCGTGATGTTCGCTAAAATATTTTCTATTGTACTAATTTTATTATTATAATGATATGTATATATTACTTATTTGGTTCTTTTAGTTCAGTGATTTTTTTTTTAAATGTTCAAACGCCTGATGAAATACTCTTTTGCAGAATTTTTAAGGCAACAATTCAAAAAATATTTCAATTGTATTCATTTATGAAAATCTATTGGCGTAATGAAAATACGTATTTGCTTTAATGCAATTAATGCAAATTTTGGAGTACTGCACATGCACATGGTAAATCGCCACATTGTAGAGCTGCAGTAAAATAGTAATATAAAATCAAAGCACAATGGACAAATAAAACACTGAACCTGCTACTTTTTACCCAACTCTGTATTAAATATTGAAACAAAACGAACGAAACATGAACACAAGGCAAGATTGTAGCGAACATCGTTTTTCAATGAATATGTAAACGAAAGGACTTCTTTTGGAAACATCTCACCGATTTCGCAAAAATCGGAAAAAACATGGGAAGATATTAATCAATATTGATTGGCGAGAGTTTCAAATTCTGTAGATGAAATGGCTAAAGTGTCATATATTGTTTCATGAATTCGCAGATTCCTGGTACAGTGCAATATATTGCATTGTTCCTTTATCTTTAAATTATTCTCTATTGTATACGTTATATAAAATTCCACCTTTTATACTATCCAAATTATAATTGTTCTACGGGTGCAAGTGCACCTTTCTTTTGATTTTATATTGATTTATTCTTTAAAAATATAATGTTCTGACGAATAAAATGCAAAATATATTTTTTCTCTTAAAATTCATCACTGAAAATAATATTTTTTTTAATAGTAACTGTTGTTTCGGTAAATTATTAATTCCTTTCCTTTTCCCAAAAATTTTGACGTTGATCCAATAACATTCCATTTATTACTTCCCAGCAAATATATTACACATTGGAAATAAGTAATGGAAAATGATAATTGAAAAACGATTTAACCTAAATATTAGAGCACGCATTCCCCTTTCCATAGAAACAGATATATATTATCGGTGTCTCGAAAACTAGGGTAGGCAGAAAAAAACTTAATAATAGAAATTTCAAGATTTTTTTACATAAATAAAAAATACGAAAAAAATTTTAATATATGACATCGGGTCTAATCGTTTTTATGAAGATCGAAATTTAAAAACGATCAAAATTACATACTCGGTAGTTCTAGTGTTAAGGGCATAGAACAGAGATGATTTTATTTAAAAATAAATTATTTTTGTATTATATTGTACTGTTGTGTGGCACGGTACACCACTTTGACGACTTATCAAAGTAAGTCGTTATATGGGAAGTGATCGAATAAAACGGCCGGATCTGAACCATTTTCAATAGCATCCATTGCTGAGTCAAAATATTACGGAGTCTACCAAAATTCGTCAAATTATCTCAAAAATTGCGGCATTTAGGCTGAACACAAGAAAACAACAAGGACAGTCGGACAGACAAACTTAAATCGATTCAGAAAGTGAAGTGCAAGAACTTCCAATATTTCTGCCAAATTTAAAGCTGTTAGCTTCATTTAGTAGCAAATACAATATTTACCTTTAAGTTTATACGGGCAAGCATGCTTAAAGCGATTTGGAGTTTCATGTGCAGATCAAAGATATGTTCGCAATAGAATCAAGAATATATATACTTTGTGGGATCGCTGATGCTTCCTTCTGCATGTTCCACGTATTATCACAAAATGAACATACCGCGCCCTTTGGTAAATACGACACTCTTTTTTCAATATAACTAACGCTAAGTGATCACATAAATCTTTTGCGAATATATCTTTTAGACGAATCCTAAGATATCAAAGGATTGAAATGGCATCGTATATACTGCATTTAACATTTAAAAATGAATTTTTTTTTTTTTTTTTCTTAAGTTAATTTGCGAATATTCTCAGTTTATATGCATTTGTATTTATTTATTTAAACATAATATCTGTATTGTTATATTGTTCCCATTGGGAATCATTAACCTCTGTTATTCGGTACACCTTGTTATTATCTTTATTGGATAGTTTATAAATTAAATATATATATATATATATAAAAAAAAAAAAAAAAATTATAGTAAATCTGTTCAAAATTCTTATATCAAGTAGTTTAACATAATAATTTTGTCGTTAAGAGATGCTTTTTTTGTTGTTTTTGTTCTTATGCTGTAAACAACGTTGATAGTAATTTTTGTTGTTACTGTTAAATAACATGCGGCCACAAGAACAGAGTATAAAATTAGTTTCAATGTTCGCTCATAACACCCCTATGTGTTTATTCCAATCATTATTATTACATAGATTCGTTTTTTGTGTTTTTTCTATAATAAATTCATAGTTAATAGTTGAAAAATTATCATAATTACGTCGATTTATTTCATAACAGCAATAGAACATTGCGGCTGTGGTTACACCATGTTGCGGCTTTGTCAGTAGAAGAGCACAGAATGTAAAATGTCTTTATGACGCCTCGATTCGAATTCATGTAAAAGTTCATCGATATCATTATCAAGATCGTTCGATTTTGCCATCTGAGAAATTTGAAGAGATTTTTAAGAGACAGATAGAGGAATAGAGAGAAAGAAAATAGAAATAGAGAAATTAATCCAATGATGAATATTATATATCAACACTTTCATTATATCAATCAAGAAATAAATACAAAATATGTCCCATATATTAAAAAAAATATCATTCTTAATTTAGAACGTCCGGACGATATATATATGTAAATATATGTATACAAAATTTCTTTCTTTTTTTTAAGCAATAACCATCCTAGTTTATTAATTCTATAAAAATGAATAACAAGAATATGTTCATATTCCATATAGATGTGTTTCTGAGTGTATTCAAAATATCAAGTTTGATGCATATTCCGAGTTTTAGATATTTTGTAACGTAAATGCTCTTTAATTATCTAACATGGATGACGGAAAACGATTGTCCGACTTGAACATTAAAAAAGTTCGCAAAATTTCGAAAAACAAAAAACATTTTCTCCAATTATTCTCTCACGTTATAGAACCTTTCATAGTCAATTAACAGTTAGTGTTTTCGATCTTTTCTTTTTTTTCTTTGATTAGAAAGAAAAATAATATAAAACAGAGTTTTTCATCTCAAAAAGATAATCAACTCTATAAATACAACAGTTTTCTTCCATGTTTGGAAAAAATATATCAAAAATATTACAAAAAATAACAAATAAAAACAGAACTTTCTAAGAAATTGAATTATTAAAGAAAGAAACAACGTGGTCGTCTATCCACATTGTTTGTTGTATCGATAATATGTAAAGAAAAAGCTCCAGTTAAACAAAGATCAAAACAAAAGAACACAAAAAAATTTTATCAAAATTTGACCTAAAAAGAAACATAAAAACAGAGGCAGCAGTTTTTTAAATGCTTTCTATATAGTATATTTAAACCTTCATCATTATCATTAACGTCATTATTATTAATCAGAATCCCACCAGCGTTTTTAAGCTCACTACAATTAAAAATCTCTTGATCAACTGACTGATAGAGGGTGATCTTTACCATATTTATCATATCCGCTATGAGAAAAGCACCCATTAGTGCTTCTTCATGATTATCTTCAATGTTAACGTTAAATATATGCACAGGACGATTATCCTGAGTGTCTTTTGATTCCATATATTCTAAGACTTGATCATATACCCGCTCCTCAACGGTGATAATAATATCGAATTTATCTGAGCATTCCTGAAATCTTTCGGGACACTTTTTAATACGCCTATTACGATCTAGCATATGTAGTAAACCATTCTGAGTATAACTGGAGAAAAGAAAATATAAACACATTAGGAATAGTTGCTTATTTGTAGACAATTTCTTTATAGCTTACTATTGTTTGTCTTTTGTAGCTAAATCATTATATATAGTATCGTAGGGTGTTCCAAATTCATATATATTTGGCTTATCAATAGCTGTACCCGGCAATTTAACACGTTCCCCTGTTCCAAAGGACCGTACATTGAAGCCTTTTTTAGCCAGAAAATTGTGTGCTTCCATTGAGCGATTCATATTTGAAGAGCAAACCACAGCTATAGCAAAACTATTGTTAATAGACATTTTGTGTATATTTTTATTTTATTTCAGCTATTTTTTATTCTTGTCTATTTCAATTGTAATAAATCTTTCTTTAAAACCTTAAAACCTTTACTCAATAAAAAGATGTGTGATAATAATGGAAAGAAAAAGAAATCGCGTAACAGTGTTGAGACCGTTCAGAGAGAAAGAGAAAGCATACTAAACAGAGTTGTATTTTATTTGTAGTAAATTCTATCTATATTCGAACAATAAATCTTTATACATGAAAAAATTTTGCGAATTGGTAGCTCTAAATGCACTACAACCAACTTCATCAATTGTAAAAAAGAATGACGAATGGCGTAGGCTAAATAATTAATTTGACGAAGAAATTAGTTGTTTAGCTTAAAAAATTGCCAACAATACTGGTGAATCTTAAAAAACTTAAGTGTAATACCATTTGCTTAAAATAAAAGTGAAAAAAGTTCAGCTATACAGTTTAAAAAAATTTCGAGTAGGTACAGGCCTTCCATCTCACTGGATTGCTTAATCAGCAAGTTTTAACTCATTCGCAACGAAAAGTAACATGGAAGAAGATTTGATATTACAACAACCATCAGATAGACGTTTAGGTAATGCAAATGCTTTGCCGCCAGGACCTCCTGGAGCAGAATTTGATGCATTGGAGTTTGGTAAGTCTTAAAAAAAAAATTTTACATAATATATTATAAAGAAAAAAAATAATTTATTAAAGACGCCAAAAATGTTCCACCTAAAGCGCTGGAAAAAGAGAGTATGTGCTCGGCGAGTCGATCCAGTAGACGTCGTTCTCCCTCGGTAAGTCCTGCTCGCAAACGTCAGTCTGCGTCGCGCACACGTCGTTCTCCTTCCTCGCCACCACCAACCAGAGACCGGCGACGGAGATCTCCTTCACCGCTACCACGGCGGAACCGCTATCGTGACTATTCGCCGGATAGACGTCGGTACGATCGATCGGGCCGACGTTCACCGGACCGCAGGCGTTCTCCCCCACCCCGCGATCGCCGAAGTGGTCTGAGTGGTGGACGAGATCGTTATCGGGGAAGAGCACGCAGCTCGAGTCGTTCCCTCAGTCGGAGCCCTTCACCTATACGCAATCGTGCTACTGCTGGACGTTGGTCTCCTAAGAAAAAGCCTAGTTCACCACCACCACCGCAGAATCAACAATTACCCATGCCTACGACTATATCTCAACAACCCCCGAATGGTCCACCTACTCAACCACCGCCACAATATAGTGTTATGACTCATACCGGACCACAACTATATGGCGACGCTTACGGTCAAGGACCGTATAATCAATATGGTGTTCCACCACCACAACCGAATTTTGTAAATGCCGCAGATAGTTATGGTATGCCACCTCAGACACAGAGTTTTAACGCGGCCTATCCCCCTCCTGGAGCTTGGAGTGTAGGTAAGTCGATTTTTTTTTCTGACTGGGGGGATGCACCGTAATTTAGGTAATACAGCGTATACAGGATATAGAGTCTAGAGAAAGTCAAAAGATTTTTACATTTTTTTTTTTTTCATTCATTATATTCATGATCACGTTGTGTAGAATACCGTGCAATATTTGTTTTCAACCATCCCACATAATCGTAGCGTAAACAAAAATATGAATTTAGCCATACCATCGATCTGACCTTTGAAATTATTAAAACTTTGCTAGAACATGTTTGTTCGTTCACCTTCCGGAACGCATTTTATTAACTTTTTATTTTTTAAAATGCGAATTGCAATGCGAACAATAAATAAAAAAATGTTTGAAAATTATATACTTTTGTCTGTTGCAATTTTCTGTTATTGTTTGCTTATGTGTTTTTAAAAAGTTTTAAGAAAAAAGTGCGTGTATTTGCTTGTAACATGCTGTACGTATGACGTTTCACGGCATGTTACTACAAATGACAACATGAAAAACTATTGAAAGTCCCGCAAACCTTTTCCTAGAAGGTGCTCACTTATCATCGAGCAGCCATCTTGCGCCATCCACAAAAAATAACAAACTTACAATGATTCCGATTGACCTAATTTAATTGACCATGTTTTTTGCCTTTGATAATTTATTTACAATGATTTATTAATAAAATCAAGCAATTGGTTATGGAAAAATTCAGTTTAGACTGCATATGTACAAATGCACGGCCAATTTTTTCATGTATGGTAGACACGTGTCGGGAAAGCTAGTGTAAAGAAACCTAGAATTAGGCTAAATGAGTAAAAATTTAATATTTTAAATTCTACTGGATAAAGCTGAGTAAAAAAATATTATATATAAAAAAAAAATATATATATATGGGTATATGTATATATACATATATATGTACATTCGTAATATGTTGGTTTCACTTTCAGATACTTATGGTCAACAACAGTGGTTACCACCTCCGAACCAACTACAAACAATGCCTGCACCGCCCCCGCAGCAACAACAGCAAACTACGCAACCGCCTCCGCCGATGTCGGTCGTAGGACAATCCGCTGCAGTGCAAGTAACACAATCCGCTAATACTTCAAATCAATCGTTACATACTTTACCAGACGCCGCACCTGGCACCATAGATCCAAATCCAGCTCATGATGGTAAGTCTCCGTGCATCGATTAACTAAATCTTTAAAAAACTTTTGCTTATACAGAATTTTTACTATGTTTTTTTCTGAAACAAACCCAAACAACAACAAAACATGTTTCTAAATAAAAAATTAATAAAAAAAAAATTTTTAATTAAGTAGCCTTTAGATGTATATGTTGCTGCAAAAAACTTCTTGTGTATTGTGCACGTGTACCATTGATTGTTGATTGTCACGTTTAAAACGCCGATTAATTGAGAAAACGATCTCATCTCTACTACGCGTTGTCGGTGATGTGTGGCCATTTGAACTGAACCGAATTTATTTAACCAAAAAAACAAACATAAGTTAAAAAAAGCTTTTTATTAAAAAAGAGCACCCTGTAAATTTGATTCATCATATTAAAAAAAGAAATGATACTAACGTTAATATTTTTCTTCGCATTTGCCTACTTCTAGCGGTGGCTCAAGAGGCAGAAAATCAACGCGATGAGTTGAAGAAGCAGCGCACTAGTTATTTGAAAAAGACTTCAGTTCTAAAGAAGGAGCTGAAAATGTTGAAAGAGCAACGCAAGGACTTGCATAAGGACAGCGTCCCGCCGTCGCCCACCACTAAGGGTTTCATAGATGAAAACGAAAAATTACAGGTACATCTTTGCTAAAGAGTTATAAAATTTTTTTATGGTTTTTAAGTTTTCTATTCAAATTAATTTAAAACACAAAAAAAAATAAATAAATAAATTTTTTTATTCAAATCAATATTAAAAAACAAAGTAAAAAAAAATGAATGGTGAATAAATAATATAATTTCTCTTTAGCTACTATTGACCCCACTCACCATTGTTGTTGTTGTTGTTGTAAAACTGAGTTTTATAAGCAAACAAAAAAGGGGTTTAAAAAACTGAGACCTAACCACACATATATGTTTTAAATGTGAAAAGAGCTACATAAATGAGTCCTTCTGGAGAAGATGAGATGTCCTGTCTACTGGTCATATAAATGTATATAAACTATATAACTACATTTATATCTATATGTATGCATTAAAAGTTATTTATACATGTATTTAATGTTAAGTAAAATTAAGTATAAACTGTATAATCATTTATATAATTTGATCGGAGACAAACCTGGAGTTTTACTGATAACTGGTTCAGCAGACGAAAAGGCTTTTCCTTACATCGTTTGGACTAACTTTGGCTTGCGGGATTGAGCAATGCACCATTATGAGCTGCACAAAAAACCTAACTAAAATTTTAATATAATTTTCTTAACTCTCTAGAAAGCACAAATTATCCTAAAACATCTTTTTACCCTTCTTTTAGAATCAAATCCAGAAAAAATTGAGTACTATAGAGAATGTTATTGATATGCTTACGGGGATAATTGGTGAGGAGAATCTCGACAAAGAGGATGAAGCTGACGAAGAAGAAACCTTACCGAAGGATGCGGTTAGTAAAAACGTCATCTTTCCTCCCATAGACGTAAAACAACAGGAGCCACGCAGTGTGACACCTTCAAAACCTCTCAACAAAAAACCTTTCACATCATCATCATCATCCGACGATACCTCAACTGATAGTGATACCACTTCTACGTCTTCATCCAGTTCTACAACCGAAAATGAAGAAGATAGAAAGCCTGGCCGCAGTGCTGCAAATAATGCTAATGCCGCTGCATCTGGCGTGACCGCAGAAGATGATGAGGACGACGACGATGATAGTTCAGCTGAACGTTTGAAAAACAAAGTCATTGAATCCATGAAAAATAAGCAAAAGGAAATCGCTAAAATTAAAACGGAACAGAAAATGTAATTTTTACGAAGTTGTTTTGAAATATATTAAAAAAATTTTATTAACTTATGCTTTTCTTTCTTTGAGACAGTGTTGAGAGAAAGGAACGATTCAATTACGTCTTCTATGATCCCGAAATGCATTGGTGTCAAACATGCGATATATTTCCGAAAACTGCACGCGATTATCTCGATCATTTGCATTCCCCGGAGCACATGGATCGCGAAAGTATTGATACGCCATGGCATTTAAACATGATAACAAACGTAAGTTTCCCATAGCATATTCCAATACGCCTATAACGCAGTAGGTAGAGTGTAATCCTAAAAATTAAATCTCTGAGCACAAAGTATTCGTGGAAGGCTTATAGGTTTGTTGCATAGATTCAAACCCCTTTATAAAGTGTAAATCCTTCAAATTCTAATCAGAAATTAAAAAAACGAAAACAATTTTTTTACTTCCGTATGACTGATTATTTGATTATTATTTTTTATATTCCATTTGGAGCTTTACGCGTACAATCAGTTGGACATTATTAGCTCAATACTCAACCATTCAATTGAAATTAAAATTTAAGTCATGATTAGATTTTTCAGCAAAGCGAAGAAAAAATTGAACTAGACTGTTGCTTAAATGCATCTATATAAATTGTTTGCTATGATGGTAATCGAGGGGACTGTGGACATCTACCATATGGTCGTATCAATTTTCTCGTTTCAGCAATTCCCTACGTATGAAAATGCTCCCACAAAAAGAACGCCCATTAGAGGTTTGACATTCTTTGTGCCAGCCTCTGCTTGGTTCTGTAAATTATGCAGTATTTGGATGGGTGATTTACATTGTGCTTCGACACATTTAAAATCGCAATTGCATGCTAATCGCTATAATGTAAGTTGCTTTGGGATTGCGCACGTAAATTCAAGACGAAATTTTTTTGAAACTAAATGCTTTTAGGCTTTCTTAGAAGAAAATCCCCATTATGAGGTTAACTGGTTGGCCGATCGTCAGCGAGTTTTAAATGAAAAGAAAACTATGCCTTTGCCGCCACAAATAACGTCGATATCCACCACTGCAGGTGAACGTAAGAAAACAAAGAAAGATGATGATAAACCTAGCAAGAAACGTAAGAAGAAAAGGTAATTGCTTTAATTAATTTATATGGTTTTATTGCTTGTCTTTGTTTTCATTTGTGATTCCTATGATTGCTTTTGTAGCGATAAAAAGCAAAAAAAGAAGAAAAAGAAGTCTTCGAAGAAACGTAAAAAGTCCTCTGGTAATGTTTCCAGTTCTTCATGCACTAGCGATTCGTCTTCTTCCACTACTGAAGATGAAGAGCCAGTTAAGAAAAAACATCGCCCGACAGTAGAAGTCAAAGAATTAGATAATCCCAATCCGGCTGCTTCAATACGCGTAACTATGCGAAAGCAAGAAACTTTAAAGCACTCGGACGAAATAGAATTACCTGCACTACCACCTTCTATGAAAATCAAGCAAGAGCCCACACAGCCAGCAGCACCAGTGGCAGCACAAGTACGCCTAAGTAAATGGACTGTAGCGCAGGAAAGCACAGCTGCAGTTAAACCAAAAGACGAAGAGAAACACGGCCAAGAAGAAGATAATATTATACAGCAATGGAACACCGTACAACCGGTAATAAGCGAAAGTGAAAAGAAACTGCTTGAACAGCTAAAGGGTAAACTTAAAAATAAACCCAAACAGGACCATAGTACATCTAATACGACTTCAAAAGATAATTCAATGCTACGTAGCGAAGTAGACAAAGAAAACAGAGAAAAAGATAGGAATCGATCAGGAAGGGACAGAGATCGCAGCGGCCGTGATAGAGGAGAACGGGATAAGGATAGAGATAGGGACAGAGATAGGGAAAGACGTGATGAACGCGACCGCGGCGGCGGCCGAGAAGAAATTGATAGAAGAGCTGCGCGTCGTTCACGCACCCGTAGCCCAACACGCAGTTGTAGTCGTGGTAGAGATTATCGCCGCTTTAGACGGTCTCGCTCTCGTAGTCGTGGGCGTATATCACCCCGCGGTTGGCGCGGTCGCCGAGGAATTGGCCGAGGTGGGCGCTCGCGCTCCCGATCACCTCGCCGACGATCCCGTTCTTACGATCGCTCTCGACGACGTGTATCCCGCTCTCGCACTCGTACACGTTCCCGTTCAAAAAGTAATAACCGTATTGAGAAACCCGTGGTAAGGCAGCCCGAATTCCGACCACGAGTACCTGAAAAGGACAAAGAGAAGGAAAAGAAGTCGAAAGAGAACACAGAGAAAAAGGAAAAATCCAAAAGCAAATCTTCGAATGCGAGTACATCAAGCAATGCTGGAGGCAAAAAATTACCTTTTATAGGTAAAATGCCAGTATTCAAGAAACAAGTTGGTTCAGGGCAGCAGGGAGAAAATGGTGAAAAGCGCACCGATGATCAACAACAACAGCAACAGAGCTATATGTACACGATGGATCCGAATAATTACACGGCTGGCGCCCCAAATGCCGGCCAACAGCGGCCTCCAGCACCCACAGCTGCTCAGATACAGCTGGCCATGATGGAGGATGCTTATGGTAACGCGCCACCTTTTCACCCTGATGTGGGTATGATGGTAGATTACGATGATCTGATGCCAGATCCTGCACAATTTGTCAATATTATGGGTCAAGCGCCACCCCCACCACCACCACCAACTAATCCAGACAAAGACGAAGAAGAAGATATGTTGCCTCCTGGTATAGATCAAGAGGAATCAGAAGAATTTGTTCCCAAACCTATCACTGATGGACCAGCTCCAACTAAAGGTCCCCTACCAAAGGACCTAGAAGAGGCTTTAAACATTATTTTCCCGGGTGAGAAAAAGCCGGATGATGGTGAAGGCAATGATAACCAAGGAGGGGTAGAAAAGAAATCGAAGTTAACCGCACACAGTAACGGAGAGACCCAAATAATTGTCGATGAACCGGTGCTACAAGCTGAAGAACTGGCTAAAGAAGGCATACACCTGGTGACATTAGATGAAACTTCTATTGTGGGTTTGGATGAAGCATCTCAGATGAGCATGAATGAGCCGTTAGTCTTTAACAAACCGACAAAAAATAATCCAATGCTTCCGAGCAATATGATTACCGACATGGAATTGGAAGACGCGGGCTCACAGCCTGGTGAAATAACACAATCCGTACCACAATCAATATTAGATGAAATTTCTCCTCCTCTTCCACCACAAGAGGTCATAACTGAAAGTAAAAAATCGGTGCAAGACCAGCAAGTTGCAGTGGATAAAACTGACAAGAAGGTACAAGAAGAACAATTTATACAAGACGAATCAATTATAAATTTACCAGAAGAAATCCCGATGCCAGACGCGCCGATATCAGAAGTAAATCCTGAAGAAACGAATAATATGGAACCATCGAATGATTTAGAGCGACTAATAATGGACTCCATTGCTGCTGATGCCACAAATACGGCAGACAGTAAATTCGTTGTTATAACAAATGAGATCGATCTAGCGGACATACCCCAGCCGCCGCCGTCACCTACAGAAAGTGAAAAGAACCGACGTCAGGAAGAATTAAACGATTTAGCGATGCTCGGTATTGATGCTGATGATATGGCAGCTCAATGTATGTAAAGTAGGTTTAATGGCAAGAAAGATTATATATGAAAGATGCGCTACACAATAACTCAGACAATGTAATTACTATTTTAACCCAGCACATATTTTCACAAGAATTCCAAGGATATGTAATAAAATGCAAATATATACGTACATATTTCCGTAATTATCAGAATTTCACGGTGATCTTATTTTTTAAAGTCGATCTACTTTTGATCTTTATATTTTTATATAAGCGAGAAGACTTTATTTAGCTTAACACTAATTTTGGATGTGTCTAGATTTTTAGCTCAACCAGCGAATTCATTCTTACGTTGGAACGTTAATCAAACGCGATTGCTTTTGCGACTTGCTTCTTTTTTTTTTTTTTAATTAAGACGAGAACTACCACTAATGCTAGCATAAGGGCTATAATATACTTCACTAATGATAATATAATAAGGATAAGAAATGTCATAAACACATCTAATTGATTTCCATGTAATTCAAGCCCCTATTTCTTTGTACGATTTCCAAGTTCACGACTTTGATTATTGTTTTTATTTTGGAATTATAAAATGCCAGTAGTTGTGTTTTAAACATCAATTTTCTAAGGTCTGCTTCAAAATCAAGTAATCAAGAAAATTATTTTCGGCTTATAACGGAAGCTTACACGCATCACTTTTATTTTGAACAATAATCTGCAATATTAAATGATCGTGGACCATTTTCTCAGCTTTTGCACAAACGCGGATAGGATCACCCATAAATCATTGTATTTACGTGCTAATGAGGCATAATCTCGATTTTTCGAATGTCGTTAATGTCAGCTTGCTTGCATGAATTTACAATTTTTTTTGCCAAATTTGAAACCCATATTTTGATTTTACGAGGAGGGGCGCATTTATCACACATACGTCCGATTAGACATGTCTGCGTTGACTCGAGAATTCTATTCTATTATACGATGTGCATCCCAGGATACGGACTCCGTAGTCTCCCCTTCTGCGTTTTTGCTTTGAGAGGGTAAAGTCTAAATAACAGTTATCAAGCGGTTCCTTTGCTCGAAGGATATTATCAAAAACGAATCCTTTATCAATAAATTTTTTTTGTTGGTTTAAAAGTTACAAAAGTAACCTTGATACTATTTCAAAATCACATGAATTCGTCAATTGTGGCGACAACTGTACGCTATTCTTCGAACTTATTGAGTAAGCTGTTAAATGTTTCGAGATTCAGTCCTCAAGTATAGTTGGGGCATGATTCTCTTTCTACTCACGGCGAACTCATTCAAAACTACATTTAACTATTTATTTTGCTTTTTACAATTTTTCTAACAAAAAATAAAATCAATCTTGATGGCAGAAGTAGTTATGCAAAAGCCTTCGGTAGTTCTAGCATTCAACGAGTTCAAAACGCATAGCTTCACGTACATGTATATAAGTGTTAGTTATAGTGCAGTCGCGAATATACGCAGATAACTGTTATGTATATGTATACAACGGCCAAGGAGTTTCGCAACTTGTCTCCTTCTTGGTTTAATCGAGCCTTCTTGAATATACGAGAAAAAATTCATTACCCTCAAAACATTTTTTTTTTTTTGAAAATTTCGCACTCTTTCCCAACGATAAGTATATCCGTGTTAAATGAACTTGCGAAGCACTTGCAACCTAATGTTTCGCCTGTTGACTTCTAGCTCCCCTAATACACCAGCGCACACCTTTGAAAAGTATTTATGTTCACTTGAAAACAGTTCCATAGTTCCATAATGATGTCCCTTAAATAGATATAGGACTAAGAGCTACGACGAAGCTTTCAATTCTTCTAGCAAGAAAGTAAAACTTTACGATGAAGTTTTTAAAGTTGGTTATAAATCCGACTGTAGAATTATATAGTTATACCAGATACGATACGAGATAAATGTTGCTACTCGTAGTAGAGAAAAGTTTACAAAATACTTGATCATTATAAGATTTCGGATCTATTCAGATATGTCGGCACGTCTTTCACCAAAAGACAATAACATACAATGTAAATTAGATGTGGTTCTAAAATTTGTTTGATTAACCAGATGATATGGCCAAAAAGTGATATATTCTGACAATTTGGAACCTTCGCGTTAGGTGAGAGGTAATTAAGTTCCTACTCAAAGGAGAGATAATTCCAATTTTTTTTTACTTCGCTTCTAAGATATTTTTGTAGACGTTAACGTAAGTTCTTTTCATACACAATTCTTTTCTTACGCAGGTCTTTTCATGCCAAAGTCTTTTCACATTCAGACCTTTCCACACCAAAGAACTTAAAAGAATTGCTAAGTGTAGCTTTTCAACTGTACAAAAAATATATCTTCAATCAATTACAATATAAAACGAGTGTATAAAATAAATGTAAATATGTATAGTGCAGAAAAAATTTCGTCAAGCTGCACCTTTTCGAAGGTTCAAAAATATACGTTCTAAATTAGGATGAACCGGTTTCTTACATATCAAGTTAATTCGTAAACACGCCAAAATGAGAATTCATTTATCTGAACATATTAAAATACCAACGAAGAAATATTGTTGCTCGCTTTCCCACTGTCCTCAGTATTCTATACGTTATTTTATCTAAAAACAATAACCTGCACAGAATTTATAGCCAGTTATCTTATTTGGTTTGATACTCTCTAATTTTTCTACAACCCTAGTAGTCTTCATATAATGTCCATTGGAAAATGGCGAAAACATAGCTTCGTCGAAAGGCCGTTAAATAGATATCAAACGCGTGGTGGTGAAGGACTTTTTGTAACATCGTTCGAATGAATATAACAGCATGACCATAAGAAACTAAAAAATTTAAGAAACTAAGAAGCTTTTTTTATGTTATATAAATTCATCGAAAAGCGATTTCATAAGCATTCACCCCGGTCATCCGCTTTAGCTAAATATATGCTACTTCTCACACCTGTATGAATATTTCCATATCAAAAATGTATGCAAATGCTTACACATAAAGTGGAATTTCTGCGAACTATAGCTTACGATGATAGTAGTGAATAAGGTCATTTAGAAAACAGAGGAACTACTGTGGAAAAATGTACCAACTGTACGCCTAGCACTTCTCGACAGTCATGAATGGAAGAAAATTATTAAGATTTAAATAACATTGTATGAGTGTAATATAAGGTAAACAGAATTTTGGTTGGTCCTCACAAATTTAGTTTATTTATTTACATTATCTTAAAGGTAATCGCTTATATTAAAAGTTAAATAAACACTTCTTAGAAAATTTGATCTCTAGGTCGGTTTGTTATGATAATATCGCGAGTCTAGGATCCCAAATTTTTATGATTACTTCTATGATTTACAAAGTGGCAGAGATATTCTGTGGAATTGAATATTTGATCGACGACTATTTAGTAACAAATTTGATATTCAACTCAGCTTTTCCATTACTGAACAATTTATAAAGCGCGTATCCTGGAAAAATTTTACCTGAAGACAAGCAAACCTTCAATGCTCGTCCTTGGCGAATGTTAACAGAACTCCTTTACAGAAAAAGTGCCTTTGTAACCTGTAATTTTGCTTTATAACGTGAACTTTATTCATTACCTGAAGTTTTAAAATTCCATAAATTATTTTACTAATTTTCATAGTCCACTTGAATTTTGTAAGGTGATCGAAGACCTTTTTTTCTTTATTAATCGGTCCACAATGTGGAAAAATTTTAAATTGAAAACCGAATTTTTCATACTCACCACCGCCCAGTTATCCCAAAAAAGGACTTAAAAAAAAAGGAAAAAAAATTAATTTTCAATACTCTATAACAATTCAAATACTCCATAACATTTGAATGCCGCGACTGATTTTTTTATGTTCAGAATAAAAGTAGAAATTCATGTTGTTTATGCGTTCTACTTTATGAGGAAGAAGCAAAAAACACGGAAAGCAGAAGTATTCATAGCTTTTGTCGCATAGGTGTGTGGACGTTTAACTGGTTTAAATCATTTTCCAACGGATATGCTTAAGTGCATGAGGGGCTTTCGAAGCCTGCTTCTCCTCGTTACAAAAATATTGAAAGAAAATTAAATTTTGATACACTATAATATTCGATAGACGCATTCAATTTTCCCCGTTTTTGTATAGATACTACAGCGTCGCCTACACAATACATATTTCAATTTTTGTAAATTTATCCATTACGGTGTATGAGTAATGAGCAAGAAACCAACTTTTTATTCCTTTTCAAAAACAGAGGTATTCTCAGTTTATCTCACACTGTAGGCGAACGCTTCGACCGATTTGGTTCATTTTGCAAACCAACCTGCGTGCAAAGACTTCCAGTTTTTGTGCCAAATTCGAAATCGATTTCTTCACTTTTTACGGCTAGGATAATGTTTAGAATATTACAAAGACTGATATGGTTAAATCGATTTAGAGTTTGATGCTGACCAAGAATATGTAACTTTGCGCTGTGTTTCTGCAGCTTTAAATTAATGCAAAATAAGAATGGAATTAGATAAACATCTTTTGAATTCGAAATAAATTGAAATGGAATTTTTTCGTGATTTTTTCTTTTTTTTGATTGGTTTGTTGAGAACGTTTGAAGGGAGACCTTTCATTTATGGGGCTATCTTCAGTAAGATATTACAATTTGTTTTCCAATAAATTCGTTGTCATAAGAATATTTCGGATAATCTGATTTTTTCTTAAATTTTTGATTTTATTGAGTTATGGGTGACGAAATTTATTTTTTATTTATCTGGTTGAGTTCCACGCTGAAGTTGGTTGCTTTTAGATGAATTTGAATAATTTTTTTATTTTTATTTTTATTTTTTTTTGGTATGTTGAACGGAGATGGGCTAAGCCAATAGATTTGTGGCTTATATGTCCAATTCGAATAAATAAAACGTCCTCATTTCTTCCTCCATCCCTTTTTTTTTTTTTGTTTGTTTCTCTTCATGCAAATCATATGATTTGTTAATTCCCATAAAGTCTCGTAAAAAGTGCAGCAGACTACAATTTTCGCATCGTCGATATACCGATGTATCAACACAAAATAAGTGTTTGAAGCAGTTGCATTTTTATGGATATATATGAATGAAAATTTGTTGCTATTTCACTCACGCAAGTATACTAACATTAAGAGTATTTTGTAATTGCGTGTCTAATGAAAATTTCTTGTTTTCTTATTTTTCTTTTTTTTGTTAAATTTCTTGTGCATCGTTTGTACCTATAATATTTATTAACACCACTATACGAATTTTTACGTTTTAAAAGCAATTGAATATGAATTTCAACAATGAAACTGCCAAGCAAGTGCTTATCGATATAATACGTACAGTAAATCAACCGGAAAATTCTAAAAAACTATCAGAGGCTAAAGCGTCCGCCGGCAAAGAAATGTTACTGATGATGCAGCACGTCTTCCCGTTAGTTATGCAATTGCAAACCGATGTCATTAAATCGTATGGGTTTTCTGGGAATCGAGAGGGGCTGGTTCAATTCTCCCAATTAATACGTGAAATGGAACGTGACGATGTCGAAATCGCCCGATTACGTAGTCAAATACGAGCGATTTACTTACCACCAATTGCCATCAACACTACCAATGATATATTAATATAGAATTTTTCCGATTTTTAGGTTTAGATTTTGTAAACAATGAACTGCCGATATATTGGAACTTTTGTTCTAAATAATGTTTCTATGTATGTGTTATAATATATGAATAATAAACAGGCTGATAGTATTTAACGTTTTTAGGAAATATGTTCCGACAAATTGTTATTATTTATTTAGGTCAAAGAGAGCTAAAAGTAAGATGAACGTTAGCTCTGTTTTTAAAAAAAAATGCACAATATGCTTAGTCTAATCGCTTTAATAAAGTTAAATATTTTATCGATATTATGTTCTCCAGGCATGTTTAAGATGTCCGAGAAAGTATTAAACTCTTCAAATACGATTCTTCGAACATTGCGAAGGTTTTGATATCCCCAAAGTAAATTTTTAATCGTAAGACGTTGTCCACAGTTGTAAATTGGACAAGTAGAGTTCTTAAGCATTCATTAGTTTGTTGAAATGCTGTGACCAAGGCGAATTCTTTCAAATGTTTCAATCTTAATTTTCCTCGATCATCACATTTTTTCATTTTAAAAAATTTTCGAAAAAACGAGGTGCCACTAATAAAGCATAAAAGTTAAATACGATGAAAAGGAAACAAGTAAGTGCCTTTTTGCAAATTTTACACTTACACCATTTCAATATATAAAATTTTCGATTTTTTTGCGCTAATATTTTCTTAAAATTGTAGAGAATTTTGCATTTATGATAGTTCATCGCTTAAGATCTTTTAATTATTATGAGCAGCTTAGCGTCCATTTCTCATTAATTATATGTTTACGCTGATAACAACTGCCGTAAATTTGTTTTTTTTTTTCGTTTCGTAACGTTTGAATCGATTCAAGCCTTTGTGATCGTCCGTGTGCCCAATCTGCTTGGATGAGTGTGGTAAATATACTCGCAGTTGTCAAATCGGTGTTATAGTTATCTTAAGCATTGAAAATGCTTTAAATATTGAATTTCAAAATGGGACAAAATCGATCAAACGACACGACTACACTATTGAAAAACTTGAAGTTTTGTTCGTTACACTTTAATTACAACAAGTGGTGATAAAAAGTTTCATTTAGATTACATAAGTAATCCTACTATAGCTGTATAGAAATGAAAATTATCGACTCCGTCCATCCAATAATAAATATTATCCAAATTTCACTGTTTTTCTTCATGAATACAAAAAGTTCATTGGAATTTTCTGCTACAATTTTACAAACAGATGTAAAAATTGTACACTTTTTATCTTTTGAACTTGAAAAGTTATCACGCTTATATGTGTATTTGACAGAAACTCACATATTCCATGTAAATACATATAAACCACAAGGAATTAAAATCATTTTACTTACACCCTTTTTTATTTTATATATAAGTTAGTATTTATACCCTTATATCCTTATCTATTCTGCTACATACATTTTATATTGGTATTACACCACGTCTTGTACAGGGTATATTAAGTTTATGCGGACGTACATAACACCCAGAAGGACTTAAGGTTGAATAACTGTTTATTATTCCGATGTATTCAGAATTATGTTCTGAAATGATCTAAGCTTGTTTATTTGCTTAAAGTCTGCTCATCTGTTTTTGTGTTCAACGCACAGATCGGAATCGTTGAGATATTTTGATGAAATTTGCTACACTGAAGTGCTTTGATCCCAGGACGAACGTTATTCAAAATGATTCGGATTGGGAAAAGTTACAATTTTCAAAATTTTTCGAGCATGCTCGCTGAGTAGTGGCACTTCGATAATTACTTATAAATTAATATGAAAAATTGTGTTCGGTGGTGGCAATTTTTTTAACTATCTATGAAGATTTCTTAAGAATAGTAAACGCTTCAGAAAAAGATATAATTTTCAATATTTTAAAACTAAGGACAGGGAATTGGACCTCTTAGATCTATTTTTTAGGCCCCAACTTATATAAGAGCTATCATGAAAAGCAAATCATTATATGGAAAGTAAATTTAATTTCTGAAAAATAATGAAACATTTACGAAGTAAATTAAGTTTGCTAAATTTGGATCATATTTCGGGCATCCTCCAAAATGCGGGCTTTCATGAAAACTATGCGTTCGCTTGAAAATAATATGTAATTTTTGTTGTATTATTAACAAACCGTGAGAATAATTGTACTAGACGAAATTGTGTAGGGTATCTAAAGCTCGTCCATGCCCAACTATAATGTTCTTGCTTGTTTTTTATTTATGAAGGTAATAGACACAGCATAATTTTTTATTTATTATTTCTGCAGATTATTTCTGCTTCTGTTACTTCTATTCTTTATATATATATGAAAATTTAATCAAAGTTCAATATAGACATATGCATTTAATGAAAGTTCAATCCATTTATGAATTCAAAATATTGCGGACAAACAAATGTATACATGATTTCGTATGTTGCCTCGGTCTCGGATCTACACCGACTTCCAGCGTACCCACGATATACTAGATGCGTACTTGTTTTTCTTTCTTTTCTTTTTCTCTCTTATTTATTTATGAATCATGGTTTTTAAGTCATACTTTATTTGCGTTTATACATTTTTAGAAGCGTTTCAGTTTAAGATTTTATTCTACGCGTTGCAGCTGAGTTTCTTATTTGAATAAATAAACAAATGTAAATAATTTCTACAACTGAAATACTGAAAACTGAAAGTACTCGGAATACTGGAGTTTTTTACTGATCCCTTTGTCGTCGTCTGCTTTTTCATTTTTGTGATGTTTGCGGTTTTATGGGTTTGCTTCACAAAAGCCCCGTTGAAATATACGATCAACTTTAATAGAATCAAAGTTGAATTAAATAGACTTTTAAAATAATTATTTTCATGATATCGACTGAGGGTGATTACATCCGTTCTAAGGCAAGTATAGTCGGCGTATTTATCCTACTTTATGTATTTTTTATAGAATATTCCACAAACGATTTGCGATCGCAACTCAATCGATAATGCAGAGTCATTTTAATACGTTGATAGTTAGATAAGTTTTTGTCAAGTCCTTCCTATCCCGTTTTAAGAAGTTGGTTGGAATATTGAATGCTCAATACATTAACCCCATGTACAAAAATTATAAAGTACTTGTTTGCCGAAATAGTACAATAACCTTGGTACATATTTATAATATCTTCTTGGATTGCAAATTTCATTGTAATAAAACAACATATTTGTTAAGGTAATATGAGAACACTGATATGATCAGTATGAGAGCAATATATATGGGAAGTTATAACGATTTCTTTTCATTTTTCGCACAGTGGTTCCAATAATTGATATTTCAAAGTATAGTAAAACTTAGCTGAATGGAGTTACATGAGGTAAGTTAGCTAATTTTGACCAAGTCTATGATACATAAATCTAATATATACATTTATTGCACGAAATTTGGTGTAAAATATAACATAGCTCAACTTTTTGTTGAAATTTCTCTGTCTACCAAAGAAACCGATAATATGTAGCAAGATTTTTTGTTGAAAATAAGCGTTCACTGATATTCTGTCATTAAACAAACTACTTTGTCTATAATTTGGCACAATTGTGTACACTGTAAGATAAAATATGAAGACATAGGATTTTAGGCCCTCTCTTGACGATCCCGTAAAACTTAATTATCGATCCAACAAGTTTTTACAGTTTATCGATATCATTTGGTTAATTAGAGCGTCAAACGGACTAGCATCTGGCATCCTCATTACAGTTGAGAGCAAAAAGAAAAGGGTATTTGGATATAACGGATATTTTTTCCTCTCAGAAGAGTCAAAAGCACCTTTAACCTTTCCTAAGAATGTACAGGATAGTAAATTTTACTGCCTTGCGACGAGTTGGTTTTCCAGAACAAAGTGAAAGAACGTAAACGATGTTCTTATTACCAAAACACAGCAATATTAATATTAAAGATTATTTTTCTATTTAATATTCTAATTACGGAAATTCAAAAAATTTTTTCTTAACTTTTTTCGGCGAATGCGTAATAAAAATGATTACTACTTGTATATAAACAATTATTATGTGGTGGAGGGATTATAGTTACTTGTCTTGTATCCCGGTTAAGGTAATCATAAAACGACAAATGTGTGTTGCAACTCTGTTGACCGATGCGTATTTGTGTTATATTTACATAAGTCCCAATAAATATTTCATTCAAGTTGAAATTGTTGAATTGTTAACACGTATGGTTAAAAAAAGAAGTTGAAAAATATAGTCACATTCATATAAAAGAGAAAAAATCGAAAAAAAAGGTTTTACCTGTCTCTCTAAGTAATATATCTATATATACATAAGCCAATTATAAATTACATATATATATAAATTTATATGCATACATATCTCAAGACCATGTACATAAATGTTTTTTGTTGCCTACACAGATGTACATGTTTTTTTAGCAGTAATTGCATTATATAATGAAATTATTTGGTTTTATATCAGAAAAACTAATTTTTGCTTTTTTCTACAATCGTGCAAAGGAAAAAGAAGCACAAGTTAGACGACAGATAGTATGTATGTGCTTATGTATATGTGTATGGGTGCATTTAGTTGAGAACAATACGGGAACAGAGAGAGAGAGAGAGAGATTCGATAAAGAGACAGGCAAAATATAGCAAACATTTTAAGAGAGCGTAACTAAGCCACACCAACAAAGAAAATAAATTACGCGTCATTGTCTGGAAGAAAATTTCATTTTTCAAGATAATCGGTTAATTATTTCAGGAAATTTGCAAAATTTTTTGTCAATCTATTAACGAGGTAAAGAAAAATTTGTCCTTAAAGGAATGCGCCATAGAAACATTCGCATTAATTTTGCCACGACATATGAGTACATATTGACTTTGGGGGTTCGCTCGAACGTTTGTCTGCACTCGTAATGAATACAAGAATTGTGAAAAATCAATGCATAGAAGTGTCGTACAACTTTTTTAAGTGTTTTAAAGGTAATCTTTTTCCTTTATTTTATATTACTTTTATAGAAAATCTATGATGTTTTCCAAATTTAAAAAAAAAAAAAGGAAATAGTGAAGAATGTATATGTACTTCATAAATTAGGGTGGCAGCTCTCTCGCTCTCTTTTTTTTCTTTTTGTTAAACTTTGTTTTTGCTACTTCTCACTGTCTCTTCTTGCTTGCACATAAACATGCACATACAGCTGCAAAATCAAAATGTAGAAAAAAATGGCTCCGACATAATTTGTCATTTTTTTCGAATATAATAGTAAGCCATTAGAAAATTAATTTGTCTTGAGAATTTTAGAAAAAAAATTTAAAATTTATTAAATCTCCAAGTAAAATCTACAGGTAGAAAACTAAATTGATGGTGATGTGCAATTGTAATAAAAGCATTTTGTTTGTTAAAAAAAAGAAAAAGAAAAAAAAGGAAAAATTTTAACATAAATCAGAGTTGAGCAGTGCAGTAAATGTAAAGCTAACAGCATTAAGGCAGAGCTGTAGCTGCTTCTCAGAAAATTTCCCTATAAAAATAGTGTTTTTTGTGGTTTTTTTTTTTTTTTGTTTGCTAAAAGTGCATACATATGTAATTTATTTAATATTTAAATTTTGTTTAATTTCAGCTGTCTGTAGAATGTTTTCATGTTTTACCATGTATGTGCTGATTATAATATGCCACTCTATCGTCCCTTGAGTTTTAAAAGCAATTGCCGTTAATTTTTGCCCATTTTTTGTTTGCATACGGATTTGATTACTTACATAAGTAACCTCTTAGTTTACAGCACTTTTGAGGACGTGTTGTTTTCCTATTAACAACCCTGTAATTTACCTATTTTTTCTAGTATTCTAATCTCACTTTCAATACGGTAAATATTTTTAATTTTTGTGTCAAAAAGTGCCGCATCAATAATTTTCCGTCACTTCACTAAAGAAACTATAATTAATGTTTCCAATCATATATCAACAAATATTCATATAATTTATCTTAAATTGAATTAGCTATCATATTTTTGAGTTTATATTAGAAATGACATTTCAGCTAAAGAAACTCGATTTGAATCTGATCAGGGTTGCACATAATAGAAGACAAATTTTTATGAGATTACAATATCAACCACCAAAAGATGGTAGCATACTATAATTGTCCTTCCGTAAGTTATAGCCGCAGTTATTTATAAAACATTCCATACAATAGTATACAATTTTAACTAACGTAGAGTTCGTTCCATTTTCCGTCCTTTGTTTATTTGGTAGGAAAATGTGATAACACACGTACACAGGATATACCCACAAAAAAATTGTTTATTTGCAAATCGCTTTAAAAACTCAGTGCAAACATTGCATAAACTCATTGACGTGTTGAGATCAAAATTAAGTAAGATAAGCATGCAAACACATGCAGAATTAACAATAGAATTTGACTTATACGTTTGCGAGATGTTAAGTTAAAACTTTGCACTATTCTTCTGAGTGTCATTTAAGATATCAGTGCAAAAATGTTCGTATTAATTAATCTCATCTAGCCTAACTAGAAATGCAAATAGTTTTTTTTTCTGTTTTACACCAATGCGTAAGCCATGAAACATAGACATCTTTTGTTAGTGCGAATAATAGAAATAAGTTAATCATGTCTGTCTTCTATCCGTCTGTTGCACACTTCGAAATTTTGTTTACAGAAATTGATTTCGTTTCAAATCTTTTTTTAGCGCTCTCTCTTCACGTTTAGATTTGCTCAAACAAATTATTTTTCGTATTTTGTTGTATGACGATCTCAAGGTTTTGTTAGAGCTAGAAGTTTGTCTTAAAATGTTTCCCTAAAGAAATGCACTAATTGACCAAGTAGCTATATATAAATGTTCAGACAGGAGGTATGTCCATAGAATTTGTAAAATTGCCTACGAGATGTTACCAAATTGCTTGGTAATATGACTTTAAACGTTGCGATAAACGACGTACACTTAATAAGTGGATCTATTCTTTATTTTAAAATCAAATATCATGCATATGCTATTACTGACATGTATAAAAATATGTAGCCCAAGAGGAACATAAGTAGTTGCTTCTTCAACGTTAATTGGAATTTATAGATAATCAAGACTTGACCTAAGGCAAATATTACTTTCTTAGTTACTGCAAATCTATGTTCAACTTGAATTTTTTACACTTAAGATGACTTAAAACAGAAGCCTTACTATCGAAGAGGGATACGCTTCCCAGGAACTTTTTGAAATTTCTCAGTTTACGTCAGCTAAGCAAAACAATCATCATTACAGGTTTTTCTCGATAGTTGTTTTGGTTTATGCAATTTTTATAAAACTACTAGGTTGTAGTAGAGAAAATCCGTCAGAACCAGGAGCAAAAATTGCAAAAAGGGGATGATTGTCAGAAAAACTCTTTACCTTTCATAGTTATCAATAAATCGCTGGTGATGCATATTTTTGAAGTTGTGGCTTTTAGAGATTTTTTTTCTTGGACTATGGATTTATCTAAAATTTAACTGTAGAAAGCAACTGCAGACTGATAACTTTTTGATATGGTGTTGCATGCAATAATCTACCGTATTTTGTTTGATCTGGTAATCCTGTTTCATAAAAAGGATATGATAACGTATCGTAAATTCAAAATATTCACTTAGACATTTTCTTTCAATTTAAATATATGTAGCTAATTGAATGATAGCATCAATTATTACTGAACGATGCCATGTTGACCATAAATTTTAAATGTATTCGAAAAAAATTACTTATTTATCCGAAAAAACGGCAGAAAACTTTATGTGAACAACGATTATCTAAGTTGAGTACGTATTTCCATAGACAAAGCATTGTTTTTTTCTGATCAAGTCGATTCACTGTTTTTTTGCCTACACTATTCAAATGACTCGTATAACTATATCTGGCAGATTTTAAGCAGATACTTACGATAGCGGTGTTATGTTTAACGAAAATTGGAAAGAAAAATTCTATTTTTTGTCTTTAATTTGGAATGGTCGAATTCTTACAAATATGCCAGTACGCCTATTTTTGAACTTGATGTGTCTGAGTTTTTGCGATTTCATCAAAGCACTCCGCGGACAATGCGTAGATGTCGAGACATGCCTGCGAGTAGGCAGAGGATGTAAAATTAATATATAATGAATTTCGTAGGGGTTGAAATGCGTTACTTGTTACATAAGTTTTAATTAATATTTATGCATATTCCCTCTATATCAGGTACAGAAACAAACTTGCGATCGAATCTACTTTCTTTGAATATTAGTTTTCACTCAGTAGATTATTTTTGTGATAGATGTCGAAAATTTTACAAAGCTAACAACCAACTGCTAATGATTTTTTGTAGATTCCATTGCTATGGTGTACCGCTATTCCATCCAAATCCTAACTTTGAGAACATAGGTGTTATGGCCCTCTCTAATGCACATATCCTGTAGTTTATGCAATTTACAAAATTTATAATTCAGCTGCAAATTCTATTCTATAATTGATATTTTTGAGAAACTAATTAGGTTACATTTGGTTTGGAACGTTTGTTAGAGCAGACTTCATTTGAATCGAGTGCACAAAGCCTACAAAGAATTTTATTAATTGAAAAGGTGTCAATTGACCGATTAACACCGTTTTTTTGCACTAAACTTATAAAGGGTTGCGGTAAATAATTGCAACTGAATTATCATGTGCTGTTACTGCTGAACGTCGGCCAATGTGGTTGTAAGTTAAAAGGAAGAATTGTTTGCAGATTTTAACTTTATGTATGTGTAAGGTTCCTATGATATGTTGAAATGCAAATAGCATTTTAAAGAAGGTTTCTGCCATAATGATATATGGAAGTCAGATGGATTTACTTTTCTTTTGTTTTGGAGTGAAAGAAGTTAAAGAAAAGATTTTGGGACTAAAGGGACAGAGCATTCAATAACTTGACAAAATTAAATAGTACACACTTTCATTCGTGCTCATTACACGCTGTAAATATCTGTTCACTTTCATTAAATGGCTTAAATACCTTCTCTTAATATGTGACCTGTTACCCTTTAATCACCACATAAAATGCCTTGCGCAAATCTCCTAGATTGATCATCGTAGTTTTTTTTTTAACTGAAGAGTGGAGGTGTCAGATGGCCGATTTGCAACATTAAGCGGGGCTCTGCCAAATATTTCAACAACAATGTCCGATTATAAATTGGAAAAGATATTTCCATTATTCTTAGTCTCGAAAAATTGATAAACTTTCAATATATATATGTAAGTATATATATATATATATATATATATCACTCACAATAGAGCAACATCTACAACTTGCAACTAACAGCAATTGTTAGCGGAAAACTTGCTATTAACAGCTAAAAGGTCAATATAGAATTAACCGCGACCGATGTTTCTCAATTCTAATGTATTTGTAGTTGGTATAAACTATTCATTCCGAGATTAATATAACTCGCTTCTTAAATTTACTTTCAATTACTTGCTTACTTACTTGCTTGATTTGTGTCCATCAAATAAAAAGTTTAATTGCTAAAATTGCTTTTTATTTCATTGACGAACAAACGGAACAACGGGATGGTGAACATAACCCACATCTTGTGGAAGGCCTGATGCATACTTATGAATGTTACCATCAGAAAGCCAGACATAATATACTCTTAAAATTTACATATATATCACTTACGAGGTCAATTTGCACATCGCATAGGTTAATATTCTCTTAATATACCAGACCATTTATTTGACCATAAAAGTTTTCTTCACTTCAATTTATTCACATGCATTTAAATACAAAAATATTTTATTACCGTGATAATAGCTGGACGCTTTTGCTCATTTCTATTTACCTAATTTACATTAAATAAACCTTAAAAGCAATACGATATTGACTTCTCTTTCTTAACGTTAACTCTGCACATATTGTTACGTAATGTATCTCTTCCCTAGTAGCACAAAAAGTAGAATCATCAGTGAAATGATGAGAATAATAAGATAGTAGTGCACTGGAACTTTGACCACCAAGTGACCGAAATGATCAAAGATAACCTAACGCAACTTTAAATGATTTTTAAAGATCGCCTTTTAGCGCATAGAATGTGATTATTGTGTTACAAAGCCGTATCGCAAACTGTGCAAACTTCAATAAGGGCACTCTACTTCAACTGCCTGCGTACGATCGTTCGTTTGGATAAAATGATGCTTTCCTCTCAAAATCCAAGAATTTATATGCAATGCGGCTAGTCCAAGAAACAGCGCAATTCGATCTGTTAATACGTACGCAATATTCTTGGTTGTTAATTTATTTATTCCAAAATATATTTATTCTATAATTTTTATTTTCTTATGTTTGTTCAGGGGACCCACGAAGCTACAATATAATATCTCCGCAATCCCTCTCTTAAATTACCGCTTGACCATATCAAATTGTTTAACGCCAGTGCAAGTTAGCCACATAGAAGCGAAGGATTGCATTTGTGAAGTATTGCTGAGTAGGAGAAGATTCATTCATGTGTATCAGCTTAGACCATATCTAGCTTTCCATCTGCAAACACTAATAAAAGACCCTAAAAAGTTTGTATAAAATCAATTTTCATCAGTTAAAGGCATAAGTTCAACTTTCAAGCATAAGGTTTTCTTAAATTCATTTACGAAAAAGCAACTAATTTATCGGAATACATTTTGTTCATTTGCTGAGGAACGTTACAATTTTTCAAATTGAGGCTCAACCGCATTCACATTAAGATGCTTTTTTCTTTTTAAGTAAGCCCTTTTCAACTGTATTCCTATAGTCTGTAATTTTCTATGGTAACAAAAGGCGAAGTTGGGGAAGGTGTCAGATTTTTTTCAAAATACTAATTAAACTGAGTATTTTCTATGCCCTTCAATGGCAAATGGCATTATGAAAATTGATAGAAAAAATTTGAAGTCAAGTTGTTCATAATTCACGGCGTTAGGTAAACAGTTAGCTTGCTGAACGTAGTGTTATTGAAAAACATTATTAAACCTTGAAATGGTGGCATATCAGGAAAATATTCGATTCATGTTTAATCGAAAATGCCTGTATCATACATAATAATTGGCAGTCGTAATGAAGATTCCCTCACATTTATACACAGTTATTTATTGGGCACATTTCGGAGCTACAAATTAGTTGGAGTAGGGTGGTCGGTGCTGTTTTCTTATTTGTTTATGACACTTATGAATTTTTGATTAGCATGCAATCCTCTAATGATTTATCAACGTCCGCCAACCTCTCCATTCATCGCCCTGTATTGACTTTGCCTTCAAAGGAATTATGATATAATTTCTTCGATTGCTTTCACTTTTGGAAGTGGTCACGATTCGGCTATTATTAGTCTTAAAACGGGTAATGATTTTGAAAATATTCAGACTATATTACTGGTCTCAATATCTCTTTCTTATCGGCGAACGGCGATGTAAAAGCCGCTCTCTCTTGTGTTTACAAGTTTTTGACGAAAATAATTTTCGAGGCCCTTTCGAACGCCTATAATTAACAAGAATTTTTTAAGATATTAAAAAAGATATTTCATACATGTCTGGTCCCAAAGGCATTTCTTTGATATTATTTAAAGAATGGATTTCCCTCTAAATGATGCTATGCAACGGACGCTGAACTATTTGAAATTTTCGCTAAACCTTAAGAGAAAGTATTAAAAGCTAAAAGTACTGTAGATATAGTAATTAAATTCTTCAATAAATATTAATAATTGCTTTTCACTTTGCTTTCTCTGTACTGCATTCATCTATATACCCTTGACATAGTTGTCAAAATTTCAATACAAAGACACCTTTCCATTTGATTAACTCATTTTTTTATTTTTTAAATTCCTTATTATTATTGCTTGTTTTGTTCTTGTTACGGAACGCCTTTTATCCTTTTTTTATTACAATGAAAACCAATGTGTTCTTTGTTTCTTTTTTTTTTGGTTATTTATTTACAGGCTTAAAATTTTTGAATAACAGCACAGTTTAAAATTCGATTCAGACAACCACAAGTTAACTCCATTTTTTTGATGTTTGAGGTTCCTTAAGGAAAAGAAAAATTTTAAAAAATAAAAGAAATAAAAAACATTAAATAAGGAAATATGTCCGCAACACATAATATTGACGATAATAAAGTCGAAATCAATGATGAGGATTTAGAAGATGGTGAAATTGATGATAGTGATGAAGATAGAAATAACGATTCAAATGATGTTATGATTGTATCGGATGATCACCAACAGCAAACTTCTAAATCACATATCGAACCACTAACAAAAATAGCAATAGCCAATGCTAACGTTGGCAGTAATGCTAATGACACGGTAGTTACTATTGACTTATTGAGTGATAATGCTTCTACACCTCCGCCGGCGTCCTCTTCAGCGTCGGCCGGGGTAAATAAAACGAAAAAACCCATACCATTGGACGATGATTACGCAGGGAGTATTGAGAATGCGTTGGCTAATGCGTTGAAAAAGAAAGGTATCGAACCAACTTTACCGAAATTATTAGAAAATCGTTTACAACAGCAAATAGGGGACGGTGATGATACGCCGCCGCCTGGTCAGGGGCAGAGTCGAAGTAGTCGCCGACGCAAAAGGAAAAAGCAACGCGAAGAAAAAGGCCGCGAGAAGGAAAAGGATCGCAAAGAAAAGGTAAATAAAGTCCAAAAATGAAATAATTCGTTCGTATGATGTTCATATGCATGTTCAATTGTTGCGCGATCCAGTAAGCGGACGTTGATGCTGAGTACCGAGTACATTGAATATGTATATATATATATTGAATATATATATTGAATATATATATATATGTATATATATATGCATGATTCTCTGTGTTTAAATGTGTTTAAGAAGCTGTGGATTATTAAGACTCCGACATAATATATCAAAGGCACTCCTCAGGTCATTAGTACTCGTATTCTCTGAGTATACGAAGACAGTTTGCCATACAACCATTCTTTTCTAATTTTTAAATGTTTTACATTCAAATGCGACAGCCATTTTAACGAGCTCACATCCTCTATCTAGAAGGCTTACCAGGAATAAGAGAAAACAGTCGCTGCCAAACGTTGCAATATTATATTGCAGTTCTTGTATGAGTTTTGCTTTTTTCAACCATCTATGAAATACTCCTTCTTACGAGTTACTAAAATATGTTTTTGTATGTAGCTATGTTTTTTTTTTTTTTTGGTATGTTGAATGGAGATGGACTAAGCCAATAGATGTAGCTACGTTGTTTCAACGTTCTTGTTCCTTTGTCCTATTTGTAGCTAATAAAAAAACTGAAAACTTTTTATTTTATTATGACATATTTTTTTTCATTTTTTACTCCAAACACCGTATAATATATTGATTGGGTTACCAATATTGTTTCCAAAATTATTGTCAAATTCTACGTATAATTACTTACATACGAGAATAACTAGTTTTGTTTTCGTAAGTTTTAGAATATTATTGAAAGAGTGTATTTGTTGCTTGTAGAAAAAACGTTTTGATTCGCCCGAATCTCAAAGACAAGCGCCACTGCCACCTTTAGGACATTTGGACGATGAAGATGATATGGATGATTATGAAATGCTTAATGTTCGTGGCGGCAGCCCACCACTTATGGCCGCACTTCCACCGCCTTCTAACGTTCATTTATACAGGGATCCCTACAATTCTGAGGAGGAGAGCGAAGGTTCCTCTTACGATAGCTTTGACAGTGAGGGGGAGGATAGTAACAATGAAAAACGAAGACGTCGACATCAGAAGAAGGAGTCGCGTAAACGTAGAGAGCGCCGTAATCGAGATGACGATAGACGCCAAGAAAAACGTACACGACGTGAATCATTGGACGAAAAACATCGTAATGAGCCACGTAAATTAGAATTATGCAAATTCTACTTAATGGAGTGTTGTGCCAAAAAAGACAAATGCTCCTACATGCATGCCGATTTCCCCTGCAAATACTACTATTTGGGTATGGATTGTGTATATAAGGAAGAATGCAAATTTGCCCATGGCAAGCCGTTATCTGAGGAGTTGCGCAATATTTTGCTAAAGCATTTAGAAACGGCACCGAAAGAAATATTGGGCAATTTTAAACGTATATCGCGCGAAAATGCTCTTAGTATGATAACAAAAAGACACGAGGAGTTGTGTGTTAAGTTTAATATGCAAAATGTTTGGGCACCGATTACAGCTAATTGTTTGCCTATACATAACAATAGACGTAATAATAAGAGCAACGGTAACGATTTGCAACAGCAACAGCAGCAGCCACAGCAGCAATTGCTAGGGCAACAACAACAAGCATTGCCAAATACGAGCAATATACCTTCGTTGCTAGATATGGTAATTAAACCGCCAACAAATATGGAAACTAGCCGGACAATAACAACGACGGCTAGTAGCAGTAACGGCAGCAGCACCAGTTCGCCCAGTAGTAATGATAAACAACGGAAATCCCGTTGGGCTGATAATAGTACATCTGCTACTGTAAGCAGCTCATTGAATATACAGCCACCTTCTAGTACGGCGCCTAGTTACTTGGATTTAGAAAACCTTAGCGGCATTTTGAGCAAGGAACACATTGAGAAGCTATCTCAACTTGGGATAGTTAATTTGGAGCAAGTTAATCAATTGACGTTTGGCCAACTGAATCAAATTGGTTTAACCATAGCCGAGATAAGTGAAATCCAACTGAATGCGATGAACATGGCCAAATTGGGTGTAAAAACGACTTCAAGCAGCACAGCAGTAACTGCCATACCTAATAATAGCCAGACTAAGGTCCAAATCGCCGAAACTACCGCGGGCGGTAATGCAGGCAGTAACATGTAAGTTTTAATAAAATAAAATATATGTGAATTTTAATTCCAATTTTTGTTCTTTTTATTAGAAACACACCATCCACTTCCATAAATGGCGATGTTGATATGCGTTTTCTTCCCAGTGTAACAGTTAACAATGAACCACAGCAGGCAACATCAACGTTAACGAATATTACGCCAACTGCGAATGCTTCTTCAGCCCCACTAGAAAAAGATGTTACTTTGTCTTCGAATTCTAATTCAAATAGCAGCAGTGCTGTCATAATGGTCGATTATTCCCAATATTTAAAAGACTCTAATTTGGCTTTCGATCGTGCAGATATTTGTATGTCACGAAATTAATGATTTGAATCTTAGTTTGTTTAAATAAATCAGGTTGATTTTTATTTACCTTGCAGATGATGATGAAAAGGATGAAGAACAGTTAGTTATAGACGATGGTAATTTAGAACATGACGATCAGATTCAACAGCAGCAACAACAGCAACATCACCATCAACAACCTCAAAATGCTTCAAGCGTTAATCAAGAACAAGAAGAGGCGGTAAGATTGGCATATTATAATCAGTTTCTTAATGTTTACATTTTAATATAAGTGGAGATAATCTGCTCGCGCCTTACGAAAAGATTAGGTTAGGATTAAAGCTAAAAAGATAACCGCGGTCTCTTTAGTTGTAAAATTTATTAAGATAGTGAAGTTTCATTCGCTAACAGCTTCCACTTCATTATTATAAGGAACTCATAGTGTAATACTTCTATTAAAATGAAAAAGAAACCAGTTGTCCGTCTAAATTTCATCGATATTTATTAACTTGTTTGCTTATAGAAAAACATGGGTATGAGTTTCGGTTCAAAGGTCCAACAATTGCCCGATATTCTTAGCAAAAGTCTACGCAACCCGTTTGGTGCCAATGCTGCCAATTTCTACGAAGGCTTAAAATTAGAGTCGTCGTATGGAGATTCCAGTGACTTACCTTTTGCAAATGAGCATGATGAAATTTCGTATTATGTGGCGCGTGGTAACCGTAGTTCCCGTGATTCACGTTCGCCTTCTCGTACGCCACCAGCCCGCTCACAATCCAATACACCAGAGGCTTCACAATCTCCGAAACCATTCGATCAAATGCATCTGGAATCACGTGAAATTGTTTATGAGCGGGCGAGTATGTACGACTATAGTGCGCGTATAGCGGAAGAGGATGAAGCACGTGCTGAACAGCGCTTAAAAGGTGACAAAGATATGAGGTATTTGCCGAGTACAGATACGTCCAGCGGTGATATTGACTTACGTTTACCGTTTCAACCGATTACCAATTACACACCCGCTACAGAAATTGACGCTTCCATCACTTCTCATTTGCCCATGTCTTACAAAGTGTATGAAGTAGATATACCGCGTGCAAGTTACATGGAACTAAGAAATCAATTTAAGTCGGACCATACTCCTGATCCTCGTTTGCGACGAATTCTAGGATTGCCAGAATTGTCACAAACGAAAACTACGGCCGCCTTAAGTCGTAAAGTACGCAAATCCAGCCATAGCAGCAGTATCGCTTCGCCAGAATCGGAAAGTTCATCACCGAAGTATTATACACCGCCGCCTACGTCAACGCAGACAACGTCGTATCAAGATGAACGTTCAAAAACTACGCAGCAAACCTCGCGCGGTGACCCTCGACGTGATCCTCGTCGTAATCCCCATAATAATGATTCGAATACGACCACCAATCTTCCACATTCAGCGGGAGGGCAAAAACAGAATGTTGAAATTCGCAATCTCTTGCAAAAATCAGAATGGTACAAAAATCTTAATTCGAAATTTAAGATCATGGTCAATCAGCAGTTGGCTTTAGTATCCACAGAATTGAAGAAATTCCATCAGGATCCTTCGCCCAATAAAATTTTTGATATAAGCTTCATAGTCAACAATTCCACACTACAACAAATACTGACTAATTTGGGCATATATATAGATGATAACGGCGAAGTAGCCTATGTTGATAACGATGGCGATGAAGCGAGTACGCCCTCCACTAGCAGCGCTTCAGCTGTAATTAATACACCGAATGCTGCTGCTGGGAGTAACATTAATCTACCAAATCTCTCGCACCCACCACCGAACACTACAAACGTGACACCCGCGGTTAGTGTTAATAACCCAGCTCTGGAATTTCTAAGAGCTCCGCCGCCCAATATGATACCTGCGGGCCCACCACCCATAGCTTTGGGTCCGATGTTCCAACGGCCACCTTTGCAAGTATCATTATTTGGACGACCTAGTTTGCTAGGTTTGCCACCGCCCGCTCACTTTAACCCATTTGCTAGCAATTTAGCCGATATAAATGTGGCCAACAACGCAAACTTCATTGGTCCAACCGCGGCAGGTATTCTGGGAGCGTTTGCAGGCCTGCAACAGCAGCAGCAACGCAACTTTAATAACCCACGAAATCGGAGTCAAACGCGCCGCAACAATATGATTTAAACTGTAAAGATATATAGATTTTTTTTTTAGACATCCTTTCTATTAAAAATGGAGATTAAAGTTTTTTACTTAACCGTCATGTTGTATTATATGAAAAATTTCTCCCTTTTCCAGTTTTTTATCACTGTAATCTATCGTCATTTTTATTGTTCTCATTTTTGTATCGTACTGTCTGCAAATGTTCGCACGAATCTTTGTTGTCATTGTTCTTTTAAAATATTTCTTAAAAAATGGTAATTTAAATTAATTTAAAGACTTATCATAATAAACCTAGTAAGCAATCAGAGTAATAAAAAACTAAAGTTGTATTAAAAATCCGTGAAATTTTTCAAGAAAGATTGTTGTTGATTGTTTTATATTTTTATTTCCGATTTTTGGGCTCTTCATTATTATTTTCAATAGTTTTCAACATTAAGGTACGACAGTGATCGGTGACCTATGAAGTGGAATATCTATACTACTTTCTCATTCTATCGGCAATTCTATTTGCACCTAACATAATATGCGGCACTCAGTTAGTGGTTGAAAAACGTATTAACTTATCGGTTAGACCGAAGAATTACTTTCTCTCTTGGATATAGTGTCCAATTATATTAGAATTGCAGAGATCGCTGCCGAGTGAAGAATGCCATTTTCGAATATATTTATGTAGTTATAAATTTATTACAAATAATGATTTAATGAATTTTTATTTCGCTATGTTGCTTGTTATTCTGCCAATTCTTTATGGCTTTGTTAACTATAACCGCATCTTGATCTTTGATCTAGAAAGACAAATTACAGAAAAACAAAATTAAACTAATGTCATCGTAGAGTACCTGTTCTACCAGCGTCTTAAATTCTTGCCGGGTGTGACATTTTAAAGCATTGCCCTTTAAAACCTTGGCTAATTCCAAAAATATGAATACCACGATCTTCCTCGAGCCACCGCAAATTTTATCCCACACACGCACTAGCGTTGACTCACTTATCACACCAGCAAATCCGGTAACATACCATTTGTCCAGCAAATCGTTCGAGGAAAATACCGCCAAATTTTCTAAATGACTTTTTGTTTTTTAAGTGTACATTCTTTAAACACATCATTACTCGTTTACACTTACTTGAACAAATTACTATCTTCCTTTCTTAACAAATTCTGCGATAATTCCTTTAACTTCCCGCAGTCTTGTGCAATTTCTCTGGTGCATGAATAAAACTCTTTCGCCAGCCAATATGTTTCGACATCGTTTTCAAATATTTGCAATAACACTTTGACTATCTCAACAAAGTTATTATCCAAATCAATTTTATCGTTGTTTGAATATAATAAACGATTCTGCTCTAACTGCCACATACTTAGCAGAACCTTACTTTTCGGAGTATTTGCACTGATAATCTGCATAACGGTTACTGCACGCAAAAGATCATCATAGACTGCTTTACGCTGTTCCATAATATATTCCGTAGAATTCTTATGCAAAGGCATAACGCCAAGTATTATGTTCCACAACAAACTTCTATAAAATTATATATAATATTAGTTAAAGCAGCGGTCGGCAAATTGCAGCAAGGTTAAGAATTTAAAGAAAATGAGAGTCAACCCAGGGAAATATTTACCTCGTTGTACTTGGTACAGTGTAGCTTAAACAAAATTGTTTCAATTTTGCATGATTACGTATATTATCCTGAAGTAATTTATTAAGTGATTTCTTTTCTTCGACACTATGGCATCCAACTTTTTCGTAATAACTTGAACGAAAATTGCGTTCATCCGTACCCATCTCGTGTGGTGCAAAATCTATTCCTTCTTCTTCTGTTATTCACCAAATCAACAAGAGAAGACTCGGCGTGAAAAAAAAGTTTCTTTGGTGCAGCCTCAACAATTTCAGTTTTCTAAAAACGTTGGCAATTCTCAACGATATTGAAGTGGACGTCAAATGTATGTGCCACCGCCCAAAAGAGGTGCTAGCGACAGACAAGTTTTACTAACTAAATTGCACCAACCAAGCCAGCAGCATGAAGAGCAATAAAGCATACAACCGCAGTTTTAAATATGTCTTTTACGAGAGTGTTGAATATTGTGGAATAAATTTTATATAATTTTTAAAGAAAAAAAAACTTGATTTTATATTATCCTGGAGTTTAAAATTTTGGTCGTATGAAATACACCAACCTAGCCATCATGAAGGCAAAAATTCATGCTTAAGCAATTTTGAATGGAATAAATGGGAAAAATTTGTTGCGAATATGGAAAGAAAGGTGTTTTATTATAGTATGAAATTGAAGGTGTATGTGGTCGAAAGTTTTTCTCTTCGTTAAGCAGCGTAAAAGAAAAAATGGAAGCTAATATGAACCACTTTCTAAAGCTATTGCCATTTTATTTTACGAAGTTATGGAGTCGAGTTGCGTTCATTCTTTGTTTTTCTGCTTTTTATTTATTTTACACAGCACTCCAGTTTCTTTCCATATTCAGCTTCCGCGTAGTTTAATTTTGTAGAAAAAGCATTCATATTGAATTTGTGAATTTCTTTTAATTATTTAATATCATTTTTCCGGACAAATTTATTACACAAATTTTTAAAAGTCAAAGAATTTTCGTTTACACGCTGCGTAACATATTTTGTTATATATTATATGTGCAAGTTTCTGAACTAAAAATTTTAAAAATGTTTGAAAATTTCGCAAATAAAGATTAACGCTAAGTATTTTTATGCTACAAAAAAAATTTCCCGAAAGAAAACGTTTTTGAAAACTGGATAGGAAAAAATAAATTCAATCAGATTGGCGTTGACAATCTCCACAAAAAATTGTAAACAAATTCCTTGTCTTTCTTCTTCTTCTGTGAGTCAGAAAGTCAACAAACAGATGTTTCGCTGAGTTTATATACAATAGACAAGAAAGTTATGCGTGTTCAACGTTCGCTACGTAACTAGGATTATTATTATCTTTTTCAATTTACAAATTAAATTTTTTTTTCGTATGTACTTCTTTTTATATATTTCTACTTTTGAAGACGATATGGTCACGAAACTTTTTTTTGAAGGATTGCAGGATAGAACAGAATATAGTAGATTTCGTAGTATGAGAAATATTAGAGTACATGTACGAGTACGTGTATGAGGTATATTATGAAAGCGCTGAAAATTGCGAAAGTAAAAGGAGTGTGAGAAGGAATAGACTCATAATTTGGCTATGAATATTTTATATGTATTGTTGGTTTAAAAGAGAGAAATGGTGAATTGCGTGAACGTAAAATGCCTAAAAAGATAAGGCCGGATGATTCGCGTTGAATAGAATTCTTTTGAATAGAAAAATTGGCGGGCAAACGTTATCTTGTAGAGGCACAACATTTGCCATCTGTATTAAGCACAGTCTGCGGGTGGATTTCATACCACCAAGAGCGAAACAAAAACATTTCTATTGAAAATAAATTCCAAATTGCAACTATTTAATCAGCTGTTATAACTTGGCAAATGGTAATATCAGTTGATTCTATAGTAGATTTCAAATACATCGCTCTAAAAATATTCCTAAAAATGTGGAAACATTATCAAACTAATCAGCTAAAGAACAAAATGGTATGGATACGATATGGATACGATGTGGGTACGTATTAATTTTAAACATCAAGACGCGATCGGCTGTCAGCCCATGAAGTGTGGTTTGTCCTATTGTTTCTCTATATTATCGAGTGCAGAACTACAAAGGAACATGTGAGTGAGCACACTTGGCACACAATTGAACAGTTAACCAGTAAACAATTGAATTCATGTAAAATTTTGGAATGGAACTATTATTATTATTATTATTATTATAATTTTAGACTAATGAAATAAATTCTTCGACTAAAAAAAAAGAAAAAAAGGCATTAAGCACTAGCACTACAGTCTATCGGCTCTAGGAATGGAACTATTTTTTGAGCCGTTCCAAATAAAAGAATTCCTACAAGAAATATGCCTTCTTATGTAAGAACAAGGTCTAATTTTTAGTATTTACTGACGGAAATCGTTCCAACACAGTGACTTGGCACTTAAATTTGCTGTGGTAAAATTGGACTTTCGGTCCCCTTCGTGTATACGAGCTATCATACAGAATAGCTCATTACATGTAAAACATGCATGACTTTTGGTATTTTATAATGAAGGTACGTGAAGAATAGTATTAGGACAAGTAATGTAAGGTATTTGAAAGTAGGCTTTGCCCGACTATAAGCTTGCTTACGTTGTTGTGTATAAGTTATCGCCATAAACCTGACTCTAATCTACTGCAGACGAAGGCTACCACCACAAATTACTACCAACATATAATTAACAGTGCAGTGGAAGGAGAGAAAATCTGTTCAAAATCCAAGAAGCAAAGCAACAGCAACAACAACAACAAATAAAGCCGAAAGCTTTGGGCAGTAACAATACAAAGAAGACGCAGCAGAAGGAGAACAAAAGGCTATATGAGGAACTAATGTTAAGTAAAAGCATTAATGTAGAGTGACCATTCAAGAGAAAAAGAAGTGGAATAAATAAATAACAATAGAAAGTAAGGACATATAAGCCACAAATCTATTGGCTTAGTCCATCTCTGTTCAACATACCAAAAAAAAAAAAAAAAAAAAAAAAAAAAAAAAAAAAAACAAAAGTTTTTAATGGTAGAAGAATTTAGCCATTTATTCGGAAGTTCTAAAATTTCATGAAGAATTACCAATCCCGCTCAGGTAAAGCCATGCATTGATGCCGCGGTAACGGCAGTACTTCAGGGCCAACGACTCATGATAGACCAGAATAATTTTTTAAAGGAAGAAAGTAAGAAAGTAGCGAATCAACCTTACAGATTCCCATCCCGCAGGTAGAGGCATATTAAGAAATAAAAATTGCAAACATTGTGGGCAGAGATAGTTTCAATGCAGTAAAATCTCTTCTTGAATTCAACGGAAGTAGGGAAAAATATGTATCATTGCATGCTGCGGCAAGGGCCGCCCATAAAATTTACGAAAGGTTTACGGAAACAGCGAGTTATGATCAAGTTGTATTTATAATAACAAATAAGGCTACCTATAAAAGTCCGATTTACCTAATGGAACACTTACGTAGTGTGACCTCTTAATATCCCAATTTCACGACGATGTTGAGAAGAGAGTAGCCATGTTGGTCAATAAAACAACAAATAATGTGTGACAATAATCAGTTAACAATACATCTCAATACAAAATATAGACAAGACGATTGGTGACATAGCATCGGCTCTAGCTCTTGCCAAGAAGGTCGATGCAAATCATCTGCAGAACGTATTCGCAACAAACTTTGCAAAGAAAAGCGATTCTTAGGGCGAAATGCATCCACAATATAGAATTTATCCTGAAAACCAAAATGTGAGTGCAAAACTGCGTTCACCGGAACCTATGGATGTTGATTCAACTTCTTCCAAATTCCGATTTAATAATAACCAATACACTAACGGACAGGCACAGAATATGATGGTTATTTTAACTGGAGGCATTGTGACCAAAGACCGATAGGAAAGATTATGGGCGATCAGGCCAGGCCAGAATAAAGGACAATTGAGTCTTGGAGAACGTAAACGAACCACATTCAGAAATGGCAGGGATTGAGCCACATGAAGCAAGATGTTCAAGAGGGCAGGCGAAATACAACATCATTCCTACAAAGATCTGGGAAACGGAACTGAAGAACAAATTGGAGAACTTCATTTTTTAGGAATGGGTCCCGGCTATCTAGGGTATTAAGGGTAATTGCAAGGAATTGAATGAAGTTTCTAACTGGTACAGGCATCTCGAAAAATCATATTCCCTCGTGTGAAGGGCATTAGGATGTGATGCTGGTCAGCCCATAACTCTTAGTTCAATCCAATCCGTAGAATCCAATAGAATTAAGGAAAAAATAAGAACAGAATTGTTTGGGGTATTCACCGATTTTTTTATTCTCTCGTGCATAGTTCACAAATACAATAGTGTCAGTTGATAGACCAGTTAATTGCTTTCGCAATCAGATTATTGTCAAACACGGGAAATCACCGGGTGGAAAATGTTTGATATTGTTTGGGAAAAAAAACGAGACATTTAATAATGATGTAGACTCAATTACAGTGTTGCAAAGATCTGTAAAATCGGATGTAGTTAACGCAATAAATTGTCGCTTACCGAAATTGGAGCGTTGTCAACATAAGCTTATCGAACTTTTTCCGGGAGGAAAGTTTAGGCATGCAAGAAAACTAGTTGCTGACGTAACTGAACCAGATGATCAAAGAGAAATTATTGCCGCGGAACACAACCGAACCCACCGCCCTGTTTAAGAGAACATTGGACAAATCCTCGAAGATTATTTTTTCCCGAAAATGGAAAAAAAAGGAGCTTGTGATGAATTGTCAAATTGGTTTACAGTCAAAACAGCGCCCCACAAAACATCAGATAACTTAAACCCCTATTCCATCACATTGCGGAGAAATTCTTCATATATTCTATTGACTCTCGACACCTTCTTACATGTATCGATAAATTTTCGAAATAGAACAATAGTGGATGTTAAGCCTCTACTCCTCTAATTGTTGAACCTATTTTCCGGTACAACAACCACAGAAACCATTCCAATATTGATATTGTGAATGCTCCACCACTGAATAGTACTTAAAATGGCCAAGTTGAGAGGTTTCACAGTGCTCTGATGGAAATCGCTCGTTGTCTAAAACTTGGCAAGTGTTTAGAGTATACAGAGGAAGTTATACTATTACCCACTACCGGGTACATTAACTCAGTACATACAGTAACTGGATAAAAACCTATCGAAGTGTTCCATACAAAAGAGTTCGACAAATTGACTGAAAACCAACTTCAGAGTGCTGAGCAAAAAGTACTGGAACTACGTAACGAATGTCGCCAAAATCAAACATACGAAATAGTAAAGAAAGTTTTGGTTAAAACCAACAAGTGTTTAGGCAATAAGCCTTCGTCATTATATGTAGGAAAAAATCTTCAGTAAGGGTTTATGTTCCCTTCATTTTTATTTAAGAATTATTTTCAGATTCATTAGCAAACTGGCATTTTCAACGGCTACTTAACCACGTAGCAAGAATATGGCTACTTGAAACATATGACAAACTTGACATAATATTCAGATTTGAAGAATAAAACAGCTAAGCCATTTCACCTATTGAATGAAGAAAATCCCCATAGCAGATTTTGATGAAATTAATAGACTTCTAAAGTTAATAAATTTGCACCAGAGGTAAAAACGCGGATTGAATGCTTTAGGAACAATACTAAAATATATTAAGAGAATCCCAGATCACCATGACTTTGAAAGAGTACAGAAAACTGAGGAGCAAATTATTAAAGAACAAGATAAGCACATTAATATACATGCCGCACTACAGATGCCAATAGCGAATTTAACACGAAGACTAAATCAAATTTTGTAAGTGCAGAAAAAGGGAAAAATAAATACTGAAAACCTTTTTAAATTGTTCGTAGGAAGGAATAGAGCGATAGTTGCTGACCTAGATGATATAATTCTTTATACAACGCTCGCAAAAATTGACCTACTTAATCCTTTGATTCTGAACGCTAAAGAGATTCATCTAATTCCAACGGATAATTGCTCTACTATATCTGATGTAGTAAACGTAGCTATTATATTAAGGTCATACGGTCATTTGATGTCATCTGTTTTCTCATAAAATATCTTCTTTCGGTTGCTCACAATTGCAAGATATTACACCTTGAAGAGACCACTATAGCTAAATGCAGTAATCATACACTGGCTGTAAGACCCACCACTGCTGACCCACCATTTTGCATGGCATCAATTACCTCGCCGTGTTCTTTACAACTCCTATCTGGAAATAAAGCAGTTTGCAGCACAGCTTTTAATAATTTGCACTTATAGGTGAAGTTTATAATGGAGTTATTGCCATTAATGACCAGACGGCAGTAATAGAAGAAAAAGGACAGCTTCCGCTGATTGTTAAAGGAACATATTTGGTGCTATTTGACGGTCAAGTAAAAATCAACAACACGTTTTTCCAAAATAACAATGCTACGACAGCTTGGATTCTTGAAATACCACGAGTGGCTGTAGGTAACCTGACAGAACATCTGGAAATTCTAACCATACTTTATCTTCGTCATACAAACCTAGAAAACTTGGATCACATTCGATACTTATAGCCTACCTGACGGAAACGTCAATACCATTTTATCAATAATTTTTGCACTACTCTTTTCGCTGACGGAAGTATGTTTACCACAAATACTACAAAGTTGCGCAACCAGACAGATGGGCCGACAAATAGACGGACATGTTTAGGTGCATTCCAAAATTGAAACTGCCCAGGAATTTATATACTTTAAAGGTTTTTTAAAGCTTGTTTCTGCGCGTTATAAATGTATTGAAAAAAGAATTAAATTTGGATACACTAAAATATTGGGTAGGCGTAAACAATTGTTTCCATTTTTGTGCACAAATGCTCCAGCATCGCCTATGGAATAGGGGTTCAAACTTTTGTGCATTTATTTGCTATATGCAATATAGCTATATATTCGCTAATCAATGAACTCTCATATTTGCATTTTCGAAGTACATTAGTCTTGTTGTTTGATTTGCAAAAATCTACTGCCGAAGCCCACCAAACACGTACAATAGCTTATTGTGATTATGCTGCTCCATCGTCGGTTTGGTTTCAACGGTTTAAAGGTGGTGACGCGAATTGACTGAAAATGTCTTTTTTGGAACACTTGTTGCAAGAGTTGTCAAGGACAGCTCTGCCGTAACCGGCGTACTCACTAGACACAGCGCGTTCTGATTACCACTTGATGCTTGATGCTTGATTGCTCAAATTGGTGCAACATGCCTTGGGGAACACACGGCTTCGCAAAGTTGAAGAATAATGAAAATGGGTCGACGACTGAATCGTCGCCAAAGTAATATGAATTCTTTCGCCACGATATCGCCCTGTTGCCAGAGATATAGTAAAATGTTGCAGAAAATTATGGAAAATATTTTGATTAATATATATATTTATATATTTTATTTTATATGTATATATATTTTTCTCAATAAATGTCTTTTTCAAGTAAAAAAATGGCCAAAACTAACGGAAGCACTCATTATTTCAACTGTATATGAATTTTCTTGTTTCAAGTACTTATTCAATCATTTTAAAAGTTTTTTTAAGTATATTAGCATAAATAGCACGGTGTGAGCCCGCCACTGCCGTTAATTATTCTGCCCCTTGCGCACACATTTGATAAAGCTCGGGTGTGCCACTTCTTCGCCTTTCCATCCGAGGAGAAAATATCGACACAACAGTAATCGTCATTCTTTTTTGGCTCATCTACCATACCACTTTCTCCCTCTCTCTCTCACACATTTGTATTTCCAGTATTCAAACTAAATATATTTTTTTTAAAGAATGTTACATTTACTTTAATTTTTCTAAATTGGCTATAGGTTAACTACATAGTATCTAGAAATTTAAATATATATATTTTTTTAATTCATCGGTTTTGCTGTAGTCTAAAGCTTTTCTTGTTCTTGTATGTTAACTTAACGCTTTGTATTTTCATTTATTATTCTAAGATTAGCAATGACCAATATAACGAAAAGATGTTATCGATGTTAAGTCGCGATATGCCTGCTTTTAATTTATACTATTGACGTTAGCCAAGGGCTTTGTACATAAAGTCAAGCAAAGAGACATTGACTACCCAATTAAATGTTTCTCAATAATTGAAAAGGGTAAATAAGCTATACAATAGTTTGAGTGGTGAGTGTAGAAAGGACTTAAACGATATTATCGCGAAAATGTCGATTCAGGAGATATTTTATTAATTATTATGCCCAATCATATATACGATGGTCCGTATGATTTTCTGTCCATTTGCGTGATTTAATAAATTCAAACAAGGATCACATATTTTTTCTTCCAACAATTTCAACAGTTCTGCACGCAAGCATCGAATCATTTCAGCTATTTCGTAATTATGTGATTTAATGATAATCCAACCCTCTTCCAATAAAAAAAGAAAGTCTCCATCGTGTAATTCTAGTTTTAAATTGCTGCCAGCAAATAAAACTAATGGTATTAACGGTAACATGCTGCATTCACGAATAAAAATACGCGAAGTTTTCACCTTTTCTTGATAGACGAGAAATGGTGAATGAAACGTCCCAACATAGGCATTCACTGAAGAGGGATGTATGGCTACATAACCGTCTATACGTGTCTTGAAGCGTAAATCTTTGCATGTAGACATTTTAGGCATACTTCCACCAGCCGTTTGAACAAAGCTCCGTTCGGGTGTTAAAATCTTAACAATGTTAGGGTATAATGAAGCGCAAAGCAACGATATGAGTAAACGATTATTTTCGCTATTCATGTTAAGTTCTGACCCTATGAAAGAAAAATTCAAAGATTTGTACAAAATTATCAAACAAAATTTTATGTACCTGTCAATTCCAAAATACGGTCTTCCATGTTTTTGTGTCTTCTTGGTATGTTAATTGGTACAAAACCGATCGATACTAACAATTCCAGAAATTGATATTTTAATTCAGCTATCGTTTGCAGAGTTCTCAAGGAAAGATAATGCTCATCCGCATAGTTACGGCTGGCGTAATAATTACGTTTCGAAACGTGCAACCATTTCTGTGGAGTGAAAATATGAGTCATTTAAAAAACTGAAATCTAAAGGCAAGAAATTCAATATTTTCGCCATTGCGGCATAATCTCTGGTATAGAATATTCCATCCATTTTATAAATACAATATCTCAAAGTATGGGTATAACATTCGCTTTTAAATTTGACATCAAGTAAAGGTATTGTATATATGTCAAGTTTCATCTTTTTACATTGATCTTTCTGATCAAAACATTTTTAGAGAAGTTTGGGAACGAACGGATTAACCAAGACACATATTTTGGGGATTTTCAGAGTTACAAAATTAAAACTTAAGTCCATGTGTCTGCATCCATTAATGATAGCTACGAAAATGCTCTGTATCGGAAAATCTGATTAAAAAATAATTACACTATAAGACTTATATGTGATTTTTCTTTTCATTTACCTTATAAGCTACTAAACATGTCAAATGATCACTGTTACAAATGGCGAATTCCCGTTTTCGTAATTCGGCTTCTGTTCTCTTATTAAATGGATTCACAAATGGTGATTTATGACTCAAACATGCCGCTATTGTTAAAGTACTATCCAAACATTGAAATATTGTGCCAAATATAATTAATTTTCCTATTCGCACGTCTACCGGGAGTGCAGATAAATGATGACCTAAAGGTGTTAATTGCTGACTATCATCCAAGGCTCCTACGTCTTGCAACCGTCTAATGGCACCCATAATATTTTCTTCCGTCGGTGGTTCTAAGGTCTCACCCAAAACTTCAATCACATTTTGTTTAGCAAAATTTGGCAGTGTCTTTGTATGCAGTACCAACTGTTCGAGGGGGACTCTATGAATTTCTGGTACGGGTTGAGCCAGGAAATTGTATTTGAAACGATGTTGAGTATATAAATGTATGCACACCCCAGGCATAACTCTGCCTGCACGGCCTTTACGTTGATTGGCGTTAGCACGGGAAACCCAAACTAATTCAAGCGACTCCATATTGCGGTTTGAATCGAAACGTTTCTCTTTCATAAGACCACAGTCGACGACATAGACGCAGTCGTTAATGGTTACAGAAGTTTCCGCTATATTGGTGCTTAAAACAATTTTCCGTTTTCCCTTCGATGGCGGACGAAAAACGGCTGATTGTTCTTCACTGGAGAGTGTGGAATGCAGAGGCATCAGTATGAATTTATTTGATCTTTGAAAAGAGATATATTATGCTTAACGGTTAAATTTAAAAAAAAAAAAAAAAATGACAATATACCTTGAGCCGAACGTCGAACTATTGCAAAGAGCTTCATGCACTGTTTGTATCTCTTGTAAACCGGGTAAAAATACTAATATAGAGCCTTCACGTGGCCATGAATGCTGCCCTTCCACTATGTAATGTAATACCGACTCTATTAAATCAGGATTCACTTTAGCAGGCTCCATTAGATAAATTGTTTTACATGTTCTTTTCGTATAATCTAAATGATAGACATGTTTTTAGTTTATGATCATTTTAAAGATACTTTTTTTAAGATTAACGATGATTGTTTTCCAGAGCCCCTAATTCATAGAAAGCACTCACTGGATGTGGTTATATATGTGCCTATATATTCCATAATATTTGTTGACTTCTCATGTTATGTAATTGATTAAATCCTAAGTTTCAACTGGGGCGATATCGGAGATTTATCGGCTCAAGCGTACGTATAAAAATCGCAAGGTTTTTTGCAATTGTTCATGTTTCAAATGGCCTATGCTCAGATGATTTTAAAAACTAATCCAGCTAACATCGAATGCATGTAACACACACATCCACTTAAGATGGAGTCATTTTTCACTACACCGACCAGTTTAGACCCATCTTCTGAATCTACTTAAGCTTATCCGTTTGCCTGGCATCTGTCCATGTATTCCTGCGTTTAAACGTACGTCGCAATTTTTAAGATTTTTCTTGGCGCTAGCGAAAATGGGTTTCATTGAACCATTTCTGTGACTCTCCTTATCAAACTATGTTTGAAAGAAATCTCCAAATGAAAAGAAATTGTAGTTTTTAATACTTCTCTACAAAAAAAGGCGATAGAATTTAACATTTTAGCATATAAAGTTAAGGTGAACAATTTGGATCGGTTGGAATCATTTTTTAAATCTCCCCCTATCAAACAATTCTCACGAAAAGTAAAACTTTATGTTGGGAGAAAGTCTGGTTAACATTCTTACAAAAATGCCATTTTTCATGATTTAAGTTTTTATGAAAACTAATCGATTTTCCAAGAAACAAAATTCCAGAGAAAGGAAAAACCAAAGATACAATTATGACGCTTTACCTGCCTCAGGTAGCTGGCGACTCGTGAAAAGCTTGACAATTAGCAGAAATTTAGCGGATTAAAAACATCGCGATGAATTTAAATAGTAGCAACTTGCTTACAAAAGGGTACATAAGCAGCAGAAGGCAAAAGGTATAATTTTTGGTATATTTTCGAAAATATGAATAAACAGTTATTCTATTAGGTGAAATGGCGTTTGCGTCACTCATAGAAATCGTTTGAGGTTTCCTTTTCTATTTGTTTTTCAGTTGTTAGCAAATCAGGTCGCGTTCCCTGTAACAGTTATTTTTGCTTAGTATATATGATTAGTTTTAGCTTCCTATATAAAAACTTTTTTAAAACTATTGCAGACATTGACTTACGATTAAATGTACTCGGAATGTTAGACTTCAAGAGGAAACTAGATAACCACCAATTATGTTGTACGTATAAAAAAAAGTATTTTATTATATAAATACCCGCATATCTGGCGTAAACGGCTGATAAGTTCAATTGTTCATCTTTGATTTTTGTTGGTGGCGCAACGTTGTTGGCCTTGATATCTGCATATTCCATTTCTTGCAATAGCTCGTTTTCCTCTTTTTTGTTGATCTTACGACTGTAAGGTGAATCACATTCAATTATGTACTCACAGCACTCTAAAATATCTTCTAGGAATAGCTGTTTTACTGGAAACGTACGACCAGGTATGTGCAGCACCGGCGCCGTACCAAAATAATTCGAAAACAAATTGGCATTTAGGGTGGCTGACATCAGAATCACCTTTAAATCGTTTCTTTCGCTTAATATACGTTTCAAGATCATTAATAAAAAATCCGATTCCTCACTTCGTTCGTGAACTTCATCAACAACAATATGAGTTACTGATTGGAGGAGAGATTCTGAAGATAAACGTCTTAATAAAATGCCAGTGGTACAGAAGGTCAGACGCGTGGAGGAGGACATTTTACTTTCGAGCCTAATTTGATAACCTACTGTTCGACCAACGCGCTCAGCTCTTTCATCGGCCACACGCTCAGCAACCCCTATTGCCGAAAGACGACGCGGTTGAGTACATATTATTTCTACATGAGGGATATTTGAGTCGTTATCTAATTGTGAAGCCTTAAAAAACCAATTATCTAAAATAAATTGCGGTATTTGTGTAGATTTCCCGCAACCAGTTTCACCCGATACCACCAAAACTTGATGACTATCCAAAAGATCAAGTATATCCGTCATTTTGCTAAACGCTGGCAGTTGTTGTCTTATCGCTAGCATTCTCTTATAATGTTCATCTTGACGGCGTTCTGTAAAACGTTTTAGTAATAAACGGTTTTCTTTATCTCGCTGTTGGGGATTTCTTTGGTGATTGTCATGAAGCAAAGATTGAGCCTTTTCGTAATGCGTCGGTAAAGGTAAAGAACGTTTTTCAGTTTCTAAATCAGTCAATTTAGACTCTACATAAAAAAGCGACTTATCAATTGGCGGAAAAGTATCCAAATCTATATCCAATGTTTGACTTAAACTTTCACTTTGCAGTAACTCGGCCACGCTGTATACACAAGGCATGCCATCTTTACTTAAGGCTAAAGCTTCTTTATACAGCTTGTGAGCTAATTTCAAACGTATTATGTTGGGTATGTCGTGGCAAGTTGTTTTCACATAAAGAAACGGTGCTTCATAGGGATATTTTGTATTTACAGGAAATCTTATTTCCAAATAAAACCAATTTTCATCAACCTCCTCTGGTGAGTTTGATATCGCGTCAGTTAATTCTGGTAGAATTGGCAAATGAGCGAATCGACACTTAGAACCGAATCTACAAGTCGCATGCTTATCGAAATTACGACATCTAGTGGGACCGGCGGATTTTTTTGTTTTTTGTTTGTCAGCTTCTTCTAAAGCCGCCGCCTCTCTGGCTTTTTTCACTTCATTTGGGCTATGTAACAGCAAATGTTCGATTTTAAATTTCAAACTCCATACGGAATCCTTTTCCTTTTCCTCGAAAGACTTATCATAAATTGATTCTAAGGCCTCTTTTTCATCTCTCCGCATATCTAGCAACTCTTGCTCACTTATATTTGATGAACGGAAAGTAATTGATCCATCATTTTCCTTTGGCACTTTCATATATTTCCGAAATAATAATAACAAAGCTTCATCGCAATTTTGTTTACAGTGATCATAAGCTTCTGTGCAGTGAATTAAAGGAAATCCATAATTTTCTAATTTTCTTAAAGCGTATCGGCGAAATCTTTGCTCAGGTTCACCCAAGTTATTATTGCTATTGTTGGTGATATTAGAAGGATCAGCGTTGTTTATCGCATAGTTGGTAACACTTTGAACAATGAGTGTACCCCTGTCTTCCCAATAAGACCCTTTAATTTTTCCACCACGATCTTTGTATTTAGACGCACTACCTAAACGAAACTTATTGCCATGTATACTACGTAACGTGTCCATACACATGTTTTGAGATTCTTCATTTAAGTGCAAAATTTGCATTTCAGCTTTTAAGGTCACTTTTGAATCCTGAGATTGGACGGATGTATTCCTATAAGTTCAAAAATTTTTTACAGAGAAATCGTATTTAAAAAAAAGTTTACTTACGTTGTGCGCACATCACTTATGGGTCGCAAAAAGCAATCCTCTATCAAATGCTGCGAATTTTCATCCATAATAAATGTAAATTTATATTGTTCTTTTCCAATTATCTAAATAATTGTATAAAATGAAAATTTTTCACACATTTACAACGTATTGACTAAAAATTTGCAACACATGTTCAGCTACACTTTAGAGTTGTCTGTAAACTAAATTTACGCCTCCTTTTCACTCTATGAATTTAAAGATCAATGTGTTTTATCCGAGATGCTATACTGATAACATGAATTAAATTTCATTTTACATTTCCTTCAATTTTCCACAATTTCATAAAAAAAAAACCATTTTATTTAACTATTTTCTTTCTTTTTTTGACTTACTAAACGAATGGATTAGGCCTGTTGATTATAACACCAATATATCCAATAGCGCGATGAGTTTTTCTTATTTGTTTATCCTTAGCCTTATATAAATGGTGGCGGCAGTACAGATGAAATTTGAAAAGATGACTGATGACATTGATTAGGAGGCAGAGATGTAATGGTTTTTAGTTAAGTATTGTCCGTTCTGGAGTTATTTCCATTATAAGATTTGGCTTATTTAGAACGTTAATTAGACAATGGAGCAATAATCACAAACAGTTAATAATATTTAAAATCGACCAAAGTTAAATTAAAAGGAAAATCCATTGCATTGATTATTTATGGCATTAACTATGTTACATTTTAGGGTTTCGACTTTTTTGGCTATATGTATGCACAAAAGGTGCGAGATACCCTGTCTTAAAGCAATCAAAGTAAATGTAAGAAAAATAGCTTACGTTTCACGTTAGTATTGATTGTTTAGACTTCAATTTAAAGGAAAAAACAGCTAAAAATTGAAAATAAAGTAAATTCCAAACAAAATTGTTTACTTGCAAACAGCTGAACTAAAATAAAAAATTTGAAGTTTGTGAAACGTAAATAAATTAATTCAATTGTCTAATTAATAGTCTAAAATTCGTTAAACCTTATCGCTATCATTGATAAAGCACGAAAGATTAGAATATAATAAAAACTCACTACTCTATTGGATATATTAGTCTTATCGTCAACAGCCCTAACCCATTCCACTAAACAAAACAAAAAAAAAAAGAAAAAGGAAATAAGTAAGTAAAATATTATTATTGAATAGTCAAGTAATGTTGAAGAAACTATATATACATTAGACAGAATAGTTCCTTTGCTCATGTTACGTTATTTGGCAGTAAAGGAACACCGAGATTGGCGGAAGAAGAAACTTGTGAGACGTAGAAGGGCTCTGCGGGACGCTTCAAATCCTCTTACGTTATCCGAAGCTTTTATATATTTGTCAACAATGCAAATTAAAATATACATATTGTTACATGTAGATTTTTGCAAAAGTTTCGCGTGTCAAAAGCAGGTTTTGAATACATCTTAGGAAATAATTGTCTGTGACTAACTTCTTAACAAATGGAAATATGAAATTATATGAATTACATGAAATTATTTCACTTCATTTCATTTTATGGAAAATTTTTTTTTTTTGGGATGTTGAGTTGAGCAAAACCAAGCCAATAAATTTGTGCCTTATATGTCCAGATAATAAGCAATCGTAATTATGGGTAAGAAGTATATATAAAATATATAATTGGAAACTTAAAGTTCAAAAAACTGTCATTCCTCAGAAAAACTTCTCTTGAGATGCAGAAATCAATATTATTATTAGAGTTCAAAAAAAAATCCAAAAACAGTAAGTTACGTCGAACACTTTGAATATTACATTGTAAAAACGAAATCATGGTTTAAATAAAAAGGAAACACCATCGGAATTACTCGTGTTACCAGGCACTTGATCGTAGCGAGTATTAGCACAATGAGACATTTTTTCTTCAAATTCCATAACAAGATTCAGACGGATCATTGAGCGGATACATACTTTAACCGCAGAGATTAATGTATCAAGTTCCGAGGAACGTAAAATGTTGTTCGCAATTGTTGGCCGTTAAGATCTTGTTACAGACGACTTGGAGGGTGAGCTGGGAGAAAGCTTGGGAGTTATAATGGGAGAAAGTTTGAAAATAACAGATTGCCTTTTAATGGCCGCATTGAATTTTGTCTTTGTTAAAGTCTTATTAGCGTTTTCGTTATCATCCTTGCTCGAAATGGCGGTCGAGTTCGCCAATGGAAATTGTCATCGTAGGAGTTGTCATCCAGACAATCAAACTAGTTTAAGGAAAACTTCTCTTTCATGTCTTCACTGGAAAGATTTTTACTGGCCATGGTTGATGTATAACTCCCGCTCTCTGTTTGGCCAACAATTGTTTAGAACGTTGTGCTCGCATAACCCACAGGACAAGTATTTCATCGTTTCACAGTTTTCGCAGTTGGGAGACTTGTTGTCGTTCAAATATGTGTTCTCCTTGGCTTTGCAGCACTTTGTCACATGCTCATATCTACCGCACCTAAAGCATTGCTTTAAGACACTCCACAGGTAGGTTGCGAAAATTGAATTTCACCGCTTTGGGGAGGGTTTTCCCTTTAAGACATATTTTAACATTCGTTGTGGGAATAAACTCTTCCTTGTTGTTAGAATTTTTTTTTTGAAATCTAACAGCAGACTTAATAGGAATATCCGACATAGCTTTTTTGATTATCTCGCCTACACCGTATATAATTGGGAAGTTGCGAATAAGTCCGAATCTCTCCGTGAAAGATCTCGGAATATACGCTTTCACATTTCTTTTTATCAAAGGCATTGTTTTTAACAAAGTTGTTAGTATTAATAGTATTAATCAATTTAGCTCTGCCCCTGCTAACCATTTTCAGTTCTTATCAGCCATTCATATTGAAACTTCAAATAATCATAAAAAAAAAGATACGAGTTGATCCTCTTAAACTTCTCTCCGCCGTTTTCACACGTTTCAACAAAAACTAAGACATTGCACTGCGACAAACAATCGTACAAATTGTTATTGGATTTGGAATGACTTTGGCACCCAAATCAGAAGGTTTTTCAACTACCAGTTTGCTAGGCACCATTAAATCATTAGCTTCAGCTTCTAGTTTGGCAGATAAATCAACTTCATCCTCACTCATTCTCGATCTCTTACTATGCTCAGTGGCATTCATAAAAAAATCTTCAAAAACATCTTTGTCTGTAGTAATTAGATCACACCCTGTCTCCACAGGGAGACAGACTGATGTTATTTTAGTTGTTATCTTGGGGAAAACTTACCAAAAAATCCGGACGAAAAACGAAAAAATTTAATATTTACATTTTTTAAAAAAAGTTTCAACAATTTCTTTTCTCTTTTCAATTTTTTCTTTTTGTTCTCCTTCTTAAATTCTCGTTTTTTTCCATTAACATTATTTTGTTACTAACTGTATCATCATAAATAAATAAACGTCAAATTTGCCCTTTATTATCCCATTATTTTTTCGAAATAAGTGTCCCATGACGGTAACCATACATAACACACAGTAATATGACTTTCATTGTACGCCGTCCTAAAGAGAGCTATTTAATTAAAATATACATAACTAGTGCCTACTAGTTTTGATAATAGAAGTCAGTTGTTTGAGACGAGGATTATCGCCAGCACGAAGGATTTCATAAATGTGTTTATATATTCCGCGACCAAAACTAAGATGCTCAGTTGGTCATGCCGCACTCCTAACAAGCATCAGATGGCTTAGGTGGCATTTCTTGAACCATTTCTTGTGATTATTCATGAGTGTGTTGAGTATTTTAATTTATCATGTCATGAAAGTGGCATCCGCTTGGGACTTAAATGTCATGGAAGCGTAAATGTTATGAAAGAGACATTTGATGTGGCATCTTTACTATCAGAAAAGGTTGGAATACGCGTTAAGAGGGAATTTAAAAGCCAAGGTCTCAAATATAAGGATATTTGAAAATCTTCTGTAATTTTTCAAAGTTCCGCAAATTGCTGGAAAGAAGGAAGAGTTATAAAATTTCCTTTAGACACATGATTTACAAGCAAGTCAAGTTAAAGTTTGATGTTTGTGTCATTTCATATTGGGTACTTGTACATTCTGTTTGTATGACGACCACCATTTAAAAAATTCCAAAAGGATGTGGAATTACAATTAGTGTAAATTTTTTCAATCGCTAGAGTTTGATGTTTTTTTTTCGCTTTTTTATCACCGTCTTCATACAAGACGATCTCATTGAGAATAGTAAAATCAGTCCCCTAAGAATTTAAGAAAAAATCATAGAATGGGTGTTACATCTGAAGCTTTGAATATTGTATTGCGAAAGGAGGTAAATTTGTAGTCATTTGAAGGCTTTAAATTATTGTTGGATCCAGGTTGTTGCAGTTTTTGAAAGGTTGATTTGACAGCGAATATTATGACCGGTAAAGATAATTCCCCACTAATTTGATTCCGGTGGACTTATGGTTGTCATAAATAATCCTACGTTCAGGGGAAGGGGTTGGATGAGGTTTTAGAAGATTAACGTGTGTGGCCTGGGCGAGATGAGATTTTTGAGACTAAACCTCTTCTTGGTGAAAATTTTGTTGACATCGGTAATAACATTTCTCGTGGGAAATTTTCATCGCAATCGATATTATTGAGGCGTTCAAAGTATTTGGGAGAATATTTTTCATTCTATTTGTTCACTTAAATAAATGTTTTCGATGGCATCGGGATTTCATTTATCTGTTCTTTTTGCATTCTTTTTGGACAGTAGGTTATGAACAAACGAAGCACAAACTAAATGTATGTTTTTCGGAGGACAGTTGGATTCTTTGATCTTCCAGAATTTGGCGACCGAGTCTGTTCCATTCGAAAAATAGTCTTAAAAACGGAACGAAGTAGTGTACGGATAGTATACAGAGATTAAACTGTATGACTTTGACTATGAATGGCTTTTTTCTTAAAGCCAATTTTGATGCTGCTTGTGGGAATCAATGTTTTGTTAACGGAGGGGTGGCAACGGTACAAGCTAGTGTCACTTGCTTTATTATTACTATTATTGTTATTATTACAATTTTAGACTAATAAAATAAATTCTTAGGCTGAAAAAAAAAGACATTGAGCACTAGCAACACAAGCTATCGGCTCTAATTTAAATAGATGTACATTAGATAATGGGCTTATTAATAAGGTAATATATTGAATTCATATTCGATTCTGAAGTTGATTTTAGTATGTCCAAAGGGTTAGTCGTTCCAAATGCAATACTTCTAGCCAAGGAAAAGTTAAGGCAGTCGCAGAGAATGTGCTTTATAGTGAGAGTTTGTCCACAACTGCAGATTGGGGAGGAAGACTTCTTCAAGATCCATTGGTGGGTTGCAATTGTATGACCAAGGCGAATTCTCGAAAATGTTTAGGTCTTGGTTTTCTCAACATTTGTTGGACATAAAGGTGGAGTTAATTGGGGGTTAATGGAAGAGTAGTGTTGATGATGGTATTGTAAATTTCCTTCTGCAATTTTCTCTTTAACTTTTCTTCCAATGCATCTTTGAAGATCCATCTTTTCCATGACATCATCCACAATTAGAGGTGCGGAAGCAGCATACTTTCCCGCTCGATCAGCCTGCTCATTTCCCAATAAACCGATGTGACTTGGTACCCATAACATTTTAATTTTTCCGTCGGGTGTTGTAATTATATTGCTTAATTTGTTGATGGTGCTCCATCTTGAAGTCGAAGGAATTCGAATAGCTTGTAATACAGACAAACTGTCGGTAACAATGACGGATTTGAGTTTGTTTTTATGGGCAGGATTCGCAGCGTGAAGGATAGCTCTGGCTTCGGTTGTGAAGATTGAAGTATTTTCGTGAAATATGTGATTGATAAGAACCTGTCGTTTAGCATCTACCACGGCACAAGCAGGAGGCAGACCAGAAGATTTTGAGCCGTCTGTGCATAAAAAACTCCAACCAGTACTCTCCAATATTTGGGTTTTTTCAGCTATTAGATTCCTGAAGACGTAATTTGGAGTATCTTCTTTCTTGTACATAGACAGCGAGATGTCAAAAGTGCAGTCAGACTTTATTTATATTTCGGACTCAGTGCATTTTCCACTATTTTATTTTCCTTAATAATGACGACTCCAAGCCCTTAAGATTTAATCCATCATAAATGTTGGCAACTTTGTCGAAATACACTTCATTTAATATGATTTATGTTTATCTCACCGCCTTGAGTGGTGAGTTGCTTTTAACCACATCATAAGTAATCAACTCGTCAAGAATTAATGGGGATAGAGTTAGTCAAGTTTATTTCGTTAAACTGACCGTACAAAGAACTGCTTTAGGAACCAAATAGATGGGAAGGAAAAGTCTGCCAGCTACCATTTGCTTTTGTCTGAAGTCACAACTGTTTAGGTTTAAGATTGAATGTCTGCTAATTCAAAAATCAGCAGCAACAGCGGAGTGTTTCGGACAAATACTTCTTCTTGTTTATTAAATTAAATTAAATTGCAAATTCAAATCGACTTCGCCGGGACAACGTCTTGCTTCGAGCAAGATTGCCAAGTTGAAAAAAAGAGCTGTAAGTGTTTTCTAATGGCATTGTAACGAATTCTAAATAGTAAGGACGTATACAATTGTTAAAATATGTACGTACCTGTTGATTACCAGCAGTGGAAGATATTTATGAAAAAAAGGTACATAGTTGTAAATATTAATAATATATATTGCAATGTAACCATTCATTTTACATGAATGAAGTGTCAAAAAATAACAGCATAAACAAAATTAAAAAAAAGAATAATAAAGAAGAATAAAATTTAATGACAAAATTCAGAAGTGTCGAATTGCATTTTCTACTGACCATGTTAGTAAAATATGAAAAAGAAAGCAATTCTTTAGGCGCTCTTACCGCAAGTACATACGCACACACACACACCCAGTCATACATGCTTTCTGTATAGATTGATCGTTGTGATTTCGTAGCGCGCGGACGTGTTCTTAAGTGCTCTGTATACATTCAATAGCGATTGCTATTGAAAGGTGAAATTCTTTTAGTGAAAAGGAAAATAAACGATAATAAAAAATACGACAGTGCTTCTGATCGTTTTAAATAGATATACAACCAATAATTTCTAGTGTGAAAGAGCGGATTTCGTTTCTTGTTACTTTTTTTTGCTCTGGTCTCCTCTGTGGGTTTACCCGCTTTCGTGTTTTAATAGGGGGTTGTTCAGTGGCATCCAACTAAACAAACAAAAGAAAGGGAGCAAGTCACAGAAGGACATTGCCGTATATTGCTGCTATAAAGCAACCTTGTGCTTTTGAGGGAGTATCTTAAAATATCAAGCATTAGCATAGACTCACTCCTTTCTTTTCAAAAACTAGCTTAAAATAACATAGCTGAGGGCGACATTAAATTAATAAGCAGCTTTGGCCAACCCTCCGCCGACCCAGAGCCGCGGACGGACGAAGACTAAGATTAAGTAAGTACAAAATTGTAGAAAATAACGCCAACGATAGCAACCTTTATATAGAAACATACTCTGCACACACAAGAAAGCACTCACATGGCACTCACAAACACACAAATACGCAAGTAGATATACGCAAATACATTCACATCCATATGCACATCGGCACACGCACACAAACATATACATACAAATATACATTCACACACACGCAAATATAGAAGTTTCAGGATGTTTAACGCAGGTGCCTGCCTGAAAGGCTCCACCCTGCGGTGCCCGCTGGCACACGGAGTGAAACGTCACTTACGTCCCACAGGGAGCAGGGGGGTTCCCTGCAGTTCTAGATCGAGGGCATGTGTATAGCATCCCCTTCCTTTTGGCGGAGCCGAGGCCTACCTTACACCTCAAGTATTTAATGCTCCCGCGATTTTGGGGGCAACCACAGCCACCACGAGACTTCTCTAGGGGCCGCCCAAGCGGTCAGGCAGAGGACCCACACTATGAGGATTCTGCAGCCAGCAATTCCCCGCAGATAGGATCCCCTGGGCAACCTGACCCCCGTGGTACCTTACTTATTTTAAAAGTCTAAGGTCAGACTTTGGCTGCATACCGTTTAGACCCACACGTCTCGGACCGGTGGCCTTAGAGTCAAAATAAAAATCAAATAAAATAAAAATAGAGCTAGAAACAATAACCATGACATAAATATGGCCTTAGGGTCAAAATAAAAATCAAATCAGATAAAAATAAAATAAAAAATAGACATAAAAAATAACAATAACATTAACACAAACATAAACACAAACATAAAGGACGAACCTAAAAAACGACCTGGCTAAGAA